CCCGCTCAAAATCTCTCACACAAGCACAGTCTCTAAAACCTGGCATGCAAGCCAAGTATTTGCAAATGGGTGGGCTGTGCCCCCCCCAACCCTCCCGCTGGAGTATCTGCAAACATAAAGGGAGTACTTGCTCGGGATACCCAAGATTCATGGTGTTTTTCTTTGTTGCTGCACTAGTTTCAAATGGGGGGTGGGGGGGCTGGGCCCCCCCCACCCCCTGCTCAAAATTTCGCAAGCACAGTCTCTGAAATCTGGCACACAAGCCCCCAACCCCCCGATGGAGTACCTGCATTCAAACAGGGGTAGTTGCTCCGCCCCAGCACAAGGGTTTAGGTTGCGCCCAAGGGTGGCGCAAGGGACGCGCAAGGCTGGCGCAAGACAGCATGGCCGATGTGAAGCCATGGGCCTTAACAGGGCAGCCAGAGGTTTCCCCAGGAAGCAGGAAGATAGCAAAAGAACGGCTTCGCCAGGGCCAGGGACAGCTTCGACACCGGGATGTTTAGAGCAAGGTGGGCAAGGTTTGTGATTTGAGGGCCGCAAGGAGCTTGTCGGTACCACGTTTTGTAGTTGGCATGTTTGCCGGCGTGGTCAAACACTAGCACGGCGCAAGGCGGCGCAAGGGCGAGGCGCAAGGGAACCCCACGGCCTTAGGCTTGGCACCAGAATTCTCTCTGACCTGATGTTGCACAGCGAGGCGCCCAAACAGAATGCCCTGACTAGTTTTGCATCCCTTGCAGAAGCCTTGCTTTGGGAGTCTGGTTCATCGGGCGGCGGGCGCGGTCTGCAACTTTGGAAGGGGAGAAGGTGGAACATCTGCCTAAGCCTTAAGCACAGGAAGCATACCTAAGGGCGGATGTCTGTATCCCTATATCGTAAGATCCCAAATCCCACTAAATACAGTTCTGTCTCGAAACCCGATCGTGATTAAAAGGCCGTATGCCACATCCGAAACAGGCCCTGCGAGCCGCTCACACTCCATCTTCACGATCACGGCCGGCGCAGCATCAGCGTGCTCTAGGGCATTTGGGTGGGGGGGGGTGGCGGGGGTAGTTGGATTTTGAGCAGTGGTTTTGGCATCAGGATTTTCTGATTCTGAATTGGTTAGTGACTCCATTTGCAACACGTGCTGGGTGCCGGCGAATCAGCGGAACGTGCAATAAATCACCAGGTAGGCCCGAGGGACATTTCATGTTTTCCCTTATTGGGTTTAAGAGGATCAGATTCAGGAGTTTTAGGGGGCATCCTAGATCATGAAACAAGTGGGAGTTGACCAACTTCCCTAAGTGAAGCATGTGGAGAAACATGATGCCCAGTATGTTGGCAAATAGTCTTATATGGTTTCACATGATGAGTCGTTGAGAATCCACATTACTTGGATGAACGGCCTGTGCGTGATTTCTTGAAATTGCGAAGTTTTCTGCTGACACTGCCACTATTCTTCTTATCTCATGCTCTTCGGAGCTCTAACTCAGCAACCAGCCTGAGCGCCTCAAAACCTCTGGCCCTCTTTCATGCGACCTGGCTGCCGCAGTCGGCAGCATCCGCTGAACCCAGCACCTGCATGGAGGTGAAGCATTCCCCTCGATGGGCATGGGATTGCGCGCCCGGTGCTTGGTTGAAGCCGCATGGTGACACGTCGCAGCTTCACCCCATAAACCATATTACCCGCATGAACCCGCCAAACACCACCGGAAACCAGTGGCAAGCGGCACTTGCTATCTAGCGTCTTCGATTGCGGTCCACTCTTTGATTTGATTTTGGAGATTTAAAGGCTTGGGACTTGTTGCCGCTCTTGGGGGCTTCAGGATAGGCTGTGAGTTCGCTTAGCAGTTTAGAAGATGCCCAGGTTCAAAAACTTCTGAAAATAGGGCAACACAATGTGTGGCGATGCAGGCTTATGGCTCTTTACACACGGCCCTGTGCCTTGATGATGCCCTAGCAGTCGCACCCTACACCACCCTGGACCCCACGCTGCAAATAGGATCTATGACCAATGAAGTGCATGACAAGACCCGAGTTGAAGTTCCGTTCAAGCTCCGATCCTGCGCGGAAGTCGACATAAAGGCAAGCAGCGTGAATCGAACAGAACATCGAAAGCTTGGGAGCTCGATGCCCTATGCCTGAGGCTTGAACTTATGCCGCCCACGTAAGCCTGTAATTCCTCTGAGCAAAACTCCATCTGATGCCGGAGAGCCCGGGCGAGGACAAGTCCCGAGCCTCGGAGCAAAGATTGGGTTTCTGCGTGGGCTGCAACATGTCGGATGTATAGGTAGCTCAGGGACTGCTAAGGGTACGGGGCTACAGGGAACGACTGAAATTGGTGCCGAAGCTATAGACGGCCGGCTAGAGCTGCTTATCGGTGTACTTCGTAGTGGACAAAACTAGTGAGCTACTGCTCAATCGCCCCTGCGAGCCGGTTCGCGCTGACTAGAATTTGTTGTAGGAACCTAAGTGTTCCGTCACAGAGAGCCTGAGCAGCAACCGTCCCAGCATCTCAAATGCATCACTCTACGCCACAATGCCCTCTGAAGAGGAGACACGCACGAACGGTTTGGAGGGGATGGGTGGCTGCAGGGGACGGGCGGGTGGGTTGGGATGCCAACCAAATAGTTAGGAGCCTGACATCAGGATATCGCTTCGAGTGCTACTGCAGCCGGCCTCCGCGATGGACCTATGATGCGATCCCGTGCCTTGGCAGTCGGAAAAACTGGCTTCAGCGTTTAGGGATCTGTACGGTGTCAGGGAATCGAACATGGAAGTTTGGAGAGATCCTGCGGCTTGGGGAGCATGGCTTCACATGCTTCATGCTTAAGCAAGCTGCTTGTGTGGCTTGGTGCCTTTGTTGGAGTCGGGTCCTTGGCCAGGACCTGTGCACATGATCTTCTCGTCCGTTTTTACGATCGGTGGACAGTGGAAGACAGTGGAAACAGCATCTCGAGCAGTAACAGAACAGAGAGACAATGACTGGTACCTGAAATTGCTCTGCTGTGGTGGTAGGGTATTCCTGTGGTATTCCTTCTCAGACATTGCCGCTGAACTGGCACGTGCTACCCTGAAAAACACAACTGAACACCAACCTCTGTTTAGTTCAATCATGTCCACCCTGTCGCGGGACTTTCCGCGGAGTTCTCTGAGGGTGAGCACTTCAGGGATTCTCGGGGGGACTCTGTGCGGGCGCATCCGCAGGTTTGCTGCACCTCGTCCCAGCCAGGCCTAAGGAAACCGGGCGGGTCACCGGGCGAGAGGCAAGGAGGCGAGGAGCATGGTTGATTTGACGTCTATAGTCTATAGGATCGAGGGTGGATCAAGGTAGCCATTCTCCTCCCACGCATATGGTGCCAAGGCCACAGCTGACACAAACCCAGGCTTCACAACATCAAGCCCCACTTTGCCACTTTGTGCTCAGTCCGCGTTCCCAGGATGTTCCAGTTCTGCACTCGTCGCGCTTGCCCGAACCCATGGCCTGGCCCTCTAGGACTACAGCCCACATCTTTTCGAGCCGAGCTTCCACAGTTTGTACGCCTCCATGAAGTTCACGAAGTACTAATCCCTTAACCCCCCAAACCCCCCCAAAGCCCCAAGCTCCGTATCATTCCGTATCCCAAAGCCGATGCCCGCGTGGCGACTCCTCGTCTGCCCTTTGAAGGCAGCTAAGGTTCAGCGGGGCCTATGGCGCAACTCTCGCGGTGTTGGCCGCAGTTGTGGCGAAGCTTGGTTGAGAACCAGCATGGGCTCCGGGGGGGCTTAGGTGGCCCGGAATTGGGGCTAGGCTGAGAAGTATCTACGGGGGCGGATGCAATCTGATGCCTCATGAAACTTTTCTTCATTCTTAGGATGTTGGGGGTCTGTACTCCTTTCCCACTTAGTTTTCCGACTTGAAGATCACTGCGGGGCAGTTTATGCACGATTTGGAGACCAAGAGCTTCAGAAACTGTCAGTTCCAGTTTCAGACTGTAACAGAATCATACCTGTGGATATGTGTGGATAATGCTCACTTTCGGCGTGACTTTGGTCTCTTTGCTGTTGACCCGCTTTCGGCTGGCAGCCGCCCAGGGTCGGCGGCAATTTTTTTGTTTCCCGATCCGCCTGCCTGTTCCCCTGGGTTTTCATCTAATTCTAATTGCATCGTCGTATCGCGCAGAACGCTGTCTTGCTTGTTAGCTGTTGCAAATCACTTCTGGCAAGGCAACTTTAGCGTTAAGGAAAACCCTGCAGAAAAGACACCCTGCAGCTGGCGCCAAGCTTGAGGAATCGAGGTGAAGTGGTGGCAGACCACTTCCTCCTCTTCCTGCTCCCGCTCGCGCTGCACCTCATGCCTTCTGGCATCAGGGATTCTCCAGGGCGGAGCAACTTTTTTGACCTCAGGGCCATACGATCTCAGCACTATTCAACATCCCAGCCCCCTTTTTGTTTAAAACCTCCGAGCTTTAGGAGTTCAAGGCTTTGTGTGTTAAGCTTAGCGGCTTTTGAGGTTGTAGGGGTTCTGGATGTGCTTGAGTCTGGTCTCTTGACGTCCATGGCCTGGGAAGCTTTGCAGCCGACGTCTTTGACCAGTGCCGTAAAGCCGAATTCGGAGCATCTCCACTTCCGGTGCAATCCCTTCCCCCTAGTAGTAAACGGGGGGGGGGGGGGGGGGGCACCCCCCAATAGAAACTCGAAATGCGTTTGTATTGTGAGGGGGATGTTTTTATCCAAATGTCATGTTTGGGGTCCAAAGGGTTTGGGGTCTAGGCATCAGGGTTTGGAGGGTTTAAGTAATTACTTAAACCCTGAGAGCGTGGTAGAGAGAGCGCTCTACTCAGGCAGCACAGCAAGGCTCAGACAGAGGCTTTGCAGCCACTCACTCACCCACTCACTCACTCACTCACACACACACACACTCACTCGCTCACTCACTCACTCACTGAGGGCTGGGAGGGAAGAGAGGGAAGGGAGCTTCAGGATGTTGGTTGGTACAAGGGGGAAGCGATTAGTTTATGTAGCTGCCATGTGTTGGTGGGCCGGCTAGCCTTCTGGTTTTGAGCCGCAAGGGGCCATGCACTCTCCAATCTCTAGTCCACTGGAAGCACCGGCTCAGACCACACCGAAGTCGAAATCAGCTAAGATCTTAAGCCACAGACCTAAATCTTAGCAAGCCATGCACCCTCGAGCTTCCTAGTCAGGCTTTTCCTGGCCACTCAATGGTCTGTAGAGGTGCGCTGCTGGGTCCGCCACATGGCCGGAAGGGTGTGCTTGATGGAGATTCGCACCCCCGTGTTCGGTTGTTTGAGGCTTCACGAGCTTTCAGGAATTGAGCAGCCCAAGGCAAGGTAATCGCACGAGGTTCCTCCTCAAATGCCGCGCTTCAAAGAATGATCAGTGAGCACAAAACGTCAGCACCTCCATCCCCCGCAGCCCCTGCCGCCCGAACAGGAGTGAGTTGGATTCACGAAGTTCACTCACTAAACTCATGCACAAGTTTATAATTTAGTTTATTCACTTCGTTCTCTCTTTATGTTATCACGAGCCTGTGGATGGGGGACGTGTGTTTACTAGCCCGTATCATTCTATTCTCGCGGATTGTAAATATAATATTGTTAAGGGCCAAATATAAAGATACTAAGGGCCCCTATACTTGTATTAAAAGCATGACATGTGGGGCGCATTATAATAACATAGTTGTAGCGCCCATACAATTCCCCTAATAAATAAATAAATAAATAAATAAATAATATGGTCTAAGGTTTTCCTGCTTGTTTCGCGAAAGGGTCAGTCAACATTGAAGCCCAGGCTCTGTCTGATTGACATGCCGGGCCATTTTTGGCTCAAGTCCCCATCCGAGCCAGCATGCATTTAGAGAAGACGCATGCAACGGTGATTTTGGTCGCTCTTTCCTATCTCTTTCATTTGATTCACACGATACTGGGGGCCGTCGGTCTTGCTGCCCAACATCTCTGGACTGGGATAATTGGTGCATGCGCTACGCTGAAAGGGTCTGTGGGCAGTGTCGCTGGATCAGTGGCTTCCTCCTTTCATTGGGTCTGTTGCTATACACTGGTGATCACACTCGTCACGTGTGCAGTGGGGCATTGCTGGCTCACCTGGGGGAGGGATCGAGTTGTTTGGACAACAACTCCTTTCAAGAAGGGAAAGTGGCGCGAACCCTGGGTGATACCAGGAACCGCTCAAACATCATCACATCGGAGTCGACGCACCGCTACAGCAATGGCGGCAGCTGGAGCGGCAGGAGCAGGCGCAATGGTGCCTGCTGGTGTGGCGCCCAATGTCGTTGGACAGTTCGTGCTCTTGGCTCGAGGCGCGGAGTACGACGAGATCCTGATTTGTGCCAGCGTGCCACAGCACGCCGAGCATGTTGGGCTGACCACTACGGCCGATGGAAGCAGCTGGGCGTGGGTCGTGGTCAGGTTGGCGGCTGGCAACCATGTCATCCCTGTAGCCAGCCCGGCACATGTCCGCGTACCGCCAGCCGGCGTGCCAGATCATACGGTCAATTGGATGTGTGTACCTCCCGCGGCACATGTCAAGTGGACGTGTGGACTGGCCGAGTTTCCTGGCTTGATGGAAGAGGCCAGGCAAATTGCGGCTCGAGTTGTGCAAGATGGCTTGGCGCCGGGGCACATCGCTGCAGGTCAGCCAGCGGCAGCTCTCCCCACTTTGATGTATCCGGTGACTTCCATGGGAGCAGGGGCCGGCTTGCTGCCTGTGGGCGGCAACGCTGGAGTGGTCGCAGGGGGGGTGGCAAACCCCGGGGCTGCAGGGGCTCTCGGCTTCAACGCTCAGGAGCCGCAGACCACGCCAGACGAGCTGGCACGGCTGATGGAGGGCATCAAGTTGGAGATCGGCCGAGCAAAAGGGGAGACGGACAAGAAAGCCAAGAAGAAGAAAAAGAAGGACAAGAGCAAGAAGAGCAAGAAGAAGAAACGAGGGAGCTCCAGCAGCAGCTCTGGGCGAAGCCGGTCTGGAAGCAGCAGCTCGTCAGCAAGCGAGGACTTCCTTCGGTGGCGCCAGGAAGGCAAGACCAAGCGCGTGAAGCCGGAGGAGCTTCGCCGATTGGAAGCACAAAGGTTCAAGGCGCGTGGAGAGCTCCTGACCTTCGCTGCCAAGCATCCGGGCGCTCTGAGCGCGTACTTTTTGTCCATGGTGCATCAGAAGTTGCTACACGGAAGTGTCACCAAGACCTCTCAGCTCCGCAAAGTCAATGTGTCCCAATGGGCCGCCGGCTCAACGGGACTCACAGAGACCCGAGACCTCAGGGAGGTGGCGACTTTGAGCTACATCATGGACATGATCAACGTGGGGGACTTAGAGACGGCGATGGACGTGATTGCGCAGCGCATCATGGCGATTCAGAAGGCCAAGAGTGCAGGTTCCGACTGGAAGAAGGCCGAGGCGTTGGAGCTCGTTGTGGGCAACAGCTTCGGCCTCCCAGGTGGTATGCTTCGCCTGACTCAGTAAAACGGATGGCTGCGATTTTCAGGCAGGAAGTGTCGTCTTGGTCGGCAAAGCCGGCGTGGGGTGCAGTCCTGCAAGTAGTCATCAAAGCTGTTGAGTTAGGTCGTAGTGAACTTGCAAGACCTTTGCAAACTAGCAGGAACCGTAACCGCATTAAGCTTCGTAATCATAGGTCCCCGAAGTCTGTTTTCCCGATTCCTTTCATCCAACGGCATCAAAGCACTGTTAGTGCACCCGGCCTGCGGATCACCGCTCTCATGCTGGACTACTGTAACCTTTTGATCTCTTGCTATAACTTCCTTTACTTCGGCTCTTCGCGTGTTTCTCTGAGTGAGCCGTCAAAAGCTCAGCAGCGCGTACATGCCCTGTTGGTCAAACGCGTTGGCCGCTATGTCAATGCCTCCGTGGAGCCGTTGAGTAGCGAGGACATGAAATCGTACCTGAAGAGTGGAGATGGCGAGTACTCTGCCTTCTCTGCTGTGCTGCCTTTGGGTGTGGACGCTGGCGTGCCGGAGTCCGCTGGACAAGTTGATTTGTCTGGGGCGTTGCAAGGCTTCTTTCCTGAGTTGGCAGCGCAAGTTCGAGAGCCGAGGCGTCTCCTTTTGAAACCGGGAGCACGTCCGCGGCGTTTGAAGCGCCCTTTCATCAAGTTACATCCTACCTACCAGCAGTTGGTAGCACGCATGGTCAGAGTTGGGCTGCAGAAGCTGCGATCTGGCAAACATGTCTGGAAACACCATGGCAAGCCGTTGGTGTCAGGAGCCTTCGCGGTGCCGAAAGACGGTGCAGAGACGCGCCTTATCTCGGCGCTGTGTCCGCTTAACGACCTCATCGATGATGCCAACCTCTTTCGGCCGCAGTTTGCATACATGCCTAAGTTGAGGGCTGTTCGGACTTGTCCAGGCAAGCGGCTGGTTGTCTTCAAGCGTGATGCACGACACTACTATCACAACTTGCGCTTGGGCCCTAAGTGGCACAAGTTTTTGGCACACCCTCCCATTGTTGAAGCAGGTCGCACGCTGTATCCGCTTCAGCTCACGGCTCCGATGGGATTCCGGCCTTCTGCTGGTTGGGCTCAGGCGCTGACTGACGTCGCCACCAAAACGGCTCAGCTGCCGGATGACCGTCGAGTAAGGTTTGATTGGCCTGTGCCTGTTGCGCTTCCGGTTTGGGGCTCCATCCAGGATGATATTTGGGCTGTTGACGAAGTTGGGCCCGAAACTAGCCCAGAAACTAGCCCTGCAGGAGCTTGGGTCCGCAGCGTTGAGAGTAGTTGGGAGGACTTGGGAGTCGCCGTCAATGCAAAGAAGAGTGTTAATGCTGATGATCCCCTTTGTGAGTTGCAGGGGGCGTTCCTCCATCAAGACGAGCATTGGTTGGGCACCTCCTTGCAGCGCCGTTGCAGTCTTGTGTGTGCAACTTTGTACGTGCTGGGACGAGTTCGTGTTTGCGTTCAATTTGTGGAGCGGTTGGTTGGCAAGCATGGTTATTGTCAAAGCTTTAACTCTTGCACGCGGAGCACCTTTCAACAAGTTTACCGGTGGATTCAGGACCATTGTCCGGGAACGGGGGCTGAAGTGGGGACTCCTTCTCGTGAATATATATATATATATATACATATATGTGCGCGTGTGTGTGTGTGTGTGTGTGTGTGTGTGTGTGTGTGTGTGTGTGTGTGTGTGTGTGTGTGTGTGTGTGTGTGTGTGTGTGTGTGTGTGTGTGTGTGTGTGTGTGTGTGTGTGTGTGTGTGTGTGTGTGTGTGTGTGTGTGTGTGTGTGTGTGTGTGTGTGTGTGTGTGTGTGTGTGTGTGTGTGTGTGTGTGTGTGTGTGTGTGTGTGTGTGTGTGTGTGTGTGTGTGTGTGTGTGTGTGTGTGTGTGTGTGTGTGTGTGTGTGTGTGTGTGTGTGTGTGTGTGTGTGTGTGTGTGTGTGTGTGTGTGTGTGTGTGTGCGTGTGTGTGTGTGTGTGTGTGTGTGTGTGTGTATATGTGTGTGTGTGTGTGTGTGTGTGTTGTGTGTGTGTGTGTGTGTGTATATATATATATGTGTGTGTGTGTGTGTGTGTGTGTGGTGTGTGTGGTGTGTGTTGTGTGTGTGTGTGTGTGTGTGTGTGTGTGTGTGTGTGTGTGTGTGTGTGTGTGTGTGTGTGTGTGTGTGTGTGTGTGTTTTTGTTTGTTTTTTCCAAAATTGACAAGTCAGGAGGTAGTCTGTCCCGCCTTTTCCAGGTTACAAGCAAGAGCCGGCCGTTGACAAGGCCACTCACGTCAAGGCAGGTCTGAAAGCCAGACGCTGTTGTGGGTGGCCCAAAAGCATGTGGTGGTTGTTCCTCGCCGTTTGTAGAGTTTAGCGCCTGAAACAAGCAGCAAGCAACAAGCAAGCAGCAACCAGCAATTGCTAGTTTGCTTCGTCTTGGGTTTTCTTTTTGCTGCTGCCCTTGTTCACAAACCTGTGCAACGTCGTTCCAGTCCATGCGGGGATCGGAGCAGTTCTGTTAGCTATCAGCAGCTCTGGCGCCATTAATGTTGGATCATTGTCAGGACTTACTACAATCGAAGCAGCATTTGGTTTCGAACCAACATTTGACCGATGCAAGTTTCGGAATTAGGAGTTGGGAAATGCAAGTCTTACAGTCCTGTTTCGAAACCCCTCTACTCTTTTGTTTTTCAGAGCTCTTGGGACTTGGCCCAGCGCCGGACTGACAGTGGCGGAAATGATAACTGCATGTTTGGCTACCGAACAATCTGCAATCTTTGCTCTGCAGGTCCGCAAGAAGCGTGCGCGTGTTTGAGCGGCTACACAAACGCACACATTGGGGGTAGGGCAGTCGAGAAGACTGCAAGTAAAAGGATATGTCGCAAAAATGGACTCAACTGTTGAAGCTTCGAGGAAGCAGTCACAAGATCGCATCTCAGAAGCTTCTGCCACTCACCCATCGTCACCTTAAACCTTCCACACTACTAGCTACCCCCGAAGCCTAAACTTCCCTAGCATGGCGGCGAAGCTGGCCCCTGCGAGGTGGTCCCTCTCCCACACGATGGGCATGGCCACGATGCGCGGGTGGCCTTGGTACCGCTTGTGCAGGTGGCCCGGAAGGTGTTTATTGGTTTTGGTGCTTTGTGTACATGCAGCAGACTTACTTCGACAAGAGGTTGGAGTGCACTATGTCGCAAGGCATGCAGGTGAGGGAGCATGCAAATTTATATGTGGCAGAGCGCAGCGCAGCAGTAGCGTCAGCAGAGTTCTCGTCGTCCTGGCAGCGGTAGTGGCAGTGAAACTGGTTCTCGTAGTACGTGATAATGCAATAGGAACTGGTAGTCGTCGTGGTGGTGGTGTTGGGGGAGGGGAGGGGCGGGAAGGGGGGGCGGGGACGGGAAGGGGGGGCGGGGAGCGGGGCGGGGAGGGGGGGCGGGGAGGGGGGGGGGGGGGTGGGGTGGGCCAGAGATTTGTCGGGTCACACACACATATGAATTTGACACAAACACAGAGTGCTTCTCGTTCCAGAAACGTCAAACATCCTGGTGCAGCATGTTGTAGAATGGAGCAGCAAAACGCTGTAAAAACCGGTGTTTTGGGGCATGGTTAGAGTAACATGGTCGTAACCAACCCCGTATAGTAGGAAGGAGTAGTAGGAGTAGTAGGAGTAGTCGGAGTCGTAGGAGTAGTAGGAGTAGTAGGAGTAGTAGGAGTAGTAGGAGTAGTAGGAGTAGTAGGAGTAGTAGGAGTAACAGGAGTAGTAGGAGTAGTAGGAGTAGTAGGAGTAGTAGGAGTAGTAGGAGTAGTAGGAGTAGTAGGAGTAGTAGGAGTAGTAGGAGTAGTAGGAGTAGTAGGGGTAGTAGGAGTAGTAGGAGTAGGAGCAGGAGTAGGAGGAGTAGTAGGAGGAGTAGTAGGAGCAGTAGTAGGAGGAGTGGTAGGAGTAGGAGTTTGGAGTTAGGAGTTCGGAGGAGTTTGGAGTTCCGAGTTCGGAGTTCGGAGTTCGGGAGTAGTGAGGCGTCGTCGTCGTACCCGTAGCCGTAGTCGCAGTCGGAGTCCTAGTAGTCGTCGGCCTAATCTTCGTTCTTCCGGGATGCGTGGTTCAGGAGGATGGTCAAAAGTCCCTCCTTTACCTGAAGAAGAAGTTTGTCTACAATGCAGCCGCGGGGAAGTTTGAACGGCCACTGAGACGGCACTTTTGGCATCTGTGGTGCATTGCTAGGAAGACGCTGTGCCGAATCGGAGACGTAGGTTTCACCTTGAACATCATCAATCTATCTCAGCGCCAGGGTCTCCTTTGATCTTTGCCTTCACCAACCTAGGCCCCAAGCCTTCTGACTTAAGAAGGCTTGTGCCGTCCAAGATCTCCCCTACCTCATCTGTCTAACAGACCTATGAGAGAAACCATTGATCCTGCTAGTGCAGCCCTATACGTCCTAGGGCATGTTGGTCTGTCCCCAGCTTCTGCAGGCTTCGTTTTGATATTTCTCTGCCCTTGGAGCACTACCTCAGCTCAACCGGACTCACAGCAAAGGAGGCGGGAACTTTTAGGTTGCAGGTCTTACATATGGTCGTATGGTCTGTTGAAGATGTCGTGGTTGTGGGCATTTGGGGCCGGTACTGGACATCGCAAGGATGTCTGTGAGAAACGGCTTCCGGTTCAAGAATGCGTCTTAGCCCCGATATCACTGCACTCTTCATACCCGAAACAAGGGTGCGCAGCAACCTCGATACATCAGAAATCAGCTGAAAGTGGCTCAGAACTTCCTGGTTCCAATTTTGAGGTCAGATAACTGCAGGCCATTGTAGCCAGAATCTTGCGAATCGAAGCGAGTTTTGAGGTGTTCACAGCAAAGTTGTAGATCCAAGTTTGGGCCGGCTTGTCCGCAGCATTTTGCTTCAGAAACGGTCTGCTGGAGCTGCAACTATCGTCCTCATCATGTCTTCGCCAATGACCGTGAAGAACACCTTTGTCGAACTGATCGAGGATGGGCCATGTATGCCAGCGACCCGTGGTAACTTGTCCACTGGTGCTGCAGACGTGCCCCATGTGCCACGGTGCCGGCAGGATGTTCAGACAAAGTGGACACTTCGTCGAGTGTGCTCCGAGCCGGCGCTGCAGGCAAGCCAAGGAAAAGTGCCAAAGACTTTTGCGCAAGCTTGGGTGCACCAAGGTGACCCCCTCGAATCCCTGCCATCAGCCCTGTGCAGCAAGGCTCCGTCTGCGGAGGCGTCCCAGAAGGCGGGGCGGGGGCCGTCGGGCACGTCGGCAGGAAAGATTGGCGAGCTTAAGCGGCTTACCGCGCTTTGGGGTTGTTTTGCTAAGCCCCTGCCCAGGCCGACAATCCAGGACGCAGGCCCGGACAGAAGCATAGAAGATGCATAGGGAGGTTCAGCAGTCAGCACTGTTCAGCACAAGTTCCGAGTGTTTCAGAGGCCAGATGGACGCACGACCTTGTGTGTTTTCGGCTGGGGCCAAGATTGCAGCGTGGACTTCGTGGCGAGGACGTTGCAGGCACCGAGGGGGGGAAGTCTCAAGTAAGTTCGGGTCCGCAGTCGGAGCTCCGTTGCCCGAGGCCAGAGCGCTGTTGCACAAGGTGAACTTTCTATACATGCCGATGGACTTCCAGCGCCAGGTCTCATTCGGTGAGGTCTTTGTGAATGCGACCTCACCGCAGGCGGCTTTGGATCTTTGGGAGAACCTCAATGAAGAGAATGAAGAGTACCAGGTGTGCTGGGCCACCAAAGTTCAAGGCCTAAGAGCACTGATCCAGAAGTACCGGAACTTTTCAATAATGCGAAGTGACGTTTCCGACGAGGCCAAGCCTCGCCTTTACATCTCCGGTGCCCGCACCCCCTTCCCGGCGCCCACGAAGGTGCTGGCCAGGCCCCGCACAAAGGCTCGCGCAAATTGAGCCGGGCCGGCGGCCTCATTTCTCATGTGCTGCGCAACACTTAGAGACTTCGAGACTTAGGGGTTTTAGGAGCAGCAAGCCTCTGCTTGCCTCGCTGGGCCGCTGCGTTCGATGAGAAACTCACAGCCCGAAGCAAACACACCAGAAGCATCAGAATCCAAAATCATCTGGAATCCCACACCCCCAAACCTCTGAGTGTGGGGCTGAGGAGATTCAGCATACCCTTGGAACCCCAAAAGGCGTATCTGGAAGCCCCAAGCCCCAAAAAGGATAGGGTGGAAGCCCACCCTAAGCATGGAATGTAGAGGTGCAATTCCCAACAGTTGGTGCTGTCGGCCTTGCAGCTTTTCTACATCAAGGATGGAAGAGGAGTGGAAGGGGGACGAGGAGAGAACGAGAAAGAGCAAGGCCAAAGAATGGACAGTGGAAAGCCCGGGAGACTGTAGATACTTGTTGAAGTTTTCTGTACGGTTTGGGTGTGGAGAAGACAACGGGAGACAAGAGGAAGCATACAAAGGCCAGAATAAAGTTTGGAGCGTACTTGTTTTCTGTGTTTTTCACTTTTTTCCTTTAGAGAAAGAGTGGAGAATGACAACTACGCAGAACTTGAGGGAGGCAACCAGTTTCGGACAAGACCGCTTCTTCTCATGATCTATCTTTCCCGCTTCTTGACCTGAACGGCAACAGGAAAAGAGAAAAAGAAGGCGGGAAAAAGGCGCAGTCAGTCTTTCCAAGATGTTTCAGGAAGGATCAGGGAGGCGCCAGAACAGGAGTGTAACTAAGAGGAGAGGATGAGGATCCGGGGATGGACGGGAGCTTAAGACTTTAGAGGACTTCTTTTCATGAAGCCAGGCTTCAAGCTCTGCCCGCCCGCAAGCCACTAGCGCTCCACCTCGGTGCCAGTCAAATCCCTGATGGAGCGAGTGTGGGCGTGGGGTACGTACCCCAGCAGTTTCCCTAAACCCTGAACCCCTAATCCCTAAGCCCACGTTCAATATTGCAACAAAATTTATCAAAGTTAATGCAACAAAAACCAAAAGAAAAAACACTGGAAAAATAATACATTCACAAAGTATTATGAGATCATCAAGAACACGAGCAAATTTGAATAATATACCATTAAGTTCATATAAACGTCGTCGTCGTTATTTTACCCTAACCCCTAAACCCTAAACCCGAAACCCTAAACCCTAAACCTGTACCCCGGCAGTTCATGGCGGAACGTGAACGAGGGAGGGACCATGGGCCTGTGCCGAGCGATATGGGCATGAGAAGGGGTCCTCAAGAAGGTTCCCAAAGTAGTGCCATTCTCAAAATCTTTTTTCTTGAAAGGGAAGGTGGCAGAGGAGATGAAGGATGCCCATGTTCCTCGTCACTGCCCCACTCTTTTTTCATTCCTTCCCTCTCCTCACATGCCACTATTGCCCGGAAAGAAGCCGCAATAGATGATGAGGGGAGAGGCGGAGGAAGCGGCAACAGGACAAACCTCCCTTTCCTTGATCATTTTGCCTTCCGCCTTCAAAATCTTTGGGAGAATGGATGTAGAAGGGAAGGTGTAGAGCAACACCCTTTCATTCCGTTGCCATCTAGAATGACAGGGTAACCTGTCTCATCAATATTTGATGCTATCGGCCCGGGCCTTTAAATTCAAATCGAGGCAGGGCGATAGCGCTTGAAGTTTCCTTTTCTGGTGTTTTTTCTTATCAACGACCAACAGCAGCCACAACCAACAACAGCCACAACTAACAACAGCAGCAACAACCGCAGCAAGTACATGAACTGAGAACAAACCACGAACAAACAGGACACGAACCCACTAGCAACGATCAACACACGAGCAACAAACCAACGACAAACATCGAACGACAAAGATTGATCAGCGCGGTCATCAGGCATAGCATGAATCTGAAATAGAACAATGAAACCAACAAACTGGATATCAATGCTTACTGCAGGTTTTAGGCTAAATTTGGTTGATGCCACGAGTTCACGATGCAAAGGGACAGTGTCGCTGCAATAGCCAAGAGATGTCAAGATTTGGACTTTAGACCCGTTCTTTGCTGTTGTTGCATTCAGCTTTCTTTGCCTTCACGCGCTGTAATGACAACGCAAAGCTAGAACTCGATGTGGTCGCCCGGCCTATGTCTGCCTTGGTCATGATCTCCGCAGCCGAGGGGACTGTATTCTTGGAGGTTTATCCTCCAAACAATCTGGACAAGATCCGGTAGCTTGGAGATTCCCAGAGGGAATCTCGGCAGTTCAAAGCAGTCCTCTTCGGGGGACTCAGTTCCTCGATGGTTGTTATCTCCCTCCGATCGTTCCGATTCGTGCAATACTATGTGTTGCACCGGTGTTCCATTAGCCAACATTCGGCTTTTACTTGGATCGTCGGGGTTTGCTAACACTAGGTTGATCGCATGCCATCTGGTTCATGGTTAAGATGAGATGACTTAGTAGCACTTGCACTATGTAAGGTGAGTAGACTAAGGACACTTCATTAAATTTGTCACCTCGGTCCGGAAAGTTTATGGAAACAAAGCTTGGGCCACTCGCAAGTTTATGGAAACAGAAGTTTCCACGCGCAAGTTTACGGCAACACAAGGGCTCCATGCACAAGTTTATGGAAACATGGACGGGCGCCCCAGTCCGCCATGTGGGCTGTAAGTTGACTTAGCAGACTTAGCCCATCTCTGCCAGGTGGTTTAGGACGCAACTTACACAACTTAGCTAACTGGCGGACTATGTCATCTATGTGGACTTGTCCGCTTACAGGATAAGTAGTCTATCTTCTTACCAAACTGGCTAACAGGATAGCCCCCAACTCAGCCAAGCCGTATGTACTTAACAAGTTCACAACACACTTGTAACCACACGAGACTTAAGCTGTTACACATCACTTATAAACTAACTTCAACAGCTAAAGAAGTCGCATACGAACCACGGTATCTGCCCTGTGTGATTATGCCCCAGAGCGATGATCCAAGTAGCTGCTGACACAGGAGGAAGAAGCTACTAACCTTCCACGGTCAGCGGTTATAGCTAAAGCATGCGAAAGTTGCTGCAGGCCATAGTGGTGGCGGGAAGCGTGGCTTCACTTCTGTACGTAAACGAACGCAGTGGTTTTAGTCTGCGCTGCAGCTGAGCGCCAACAGCTAGGGCACTGCAGTCTCAGAACAGTTTCCGCAGCTTACAGTCGTGTCGAAGCACTGCCAGTAAAAAAAGGGGTAATCGTAGGTCATTGAGGCTTTGCTGGTAGTATCAGCACGTTTCTTAGCTGAGCTTGATCATGTGTAGTTTTTTCTGGTGTGAGTACCGCTGTGACACTTGGTACTGCTCTTACTACTATTCTTACTATTCTTGTTACTCTTAGTCTTCTTATTACTGTTACTCTTCTTATTATTTGCTTGTTGCGTTAAAACTTACAGAGACTTTGTTTGATGGCTCACTTGTCCGGGCAGGCGCTTAGCATGTCTAGATTCTACGACCAGCTGAGCAGATTGGTTCAGCTCAGTGACTCAGTGACTGATTGGAGAAGAGCTGACGGACAAAGAGGCGACGGGATGCATTTGAGGTCGGCAGCTCTGAAACAGATTGCTGTATTTCTTTGCCTGACCCTACTCTATACTGCCCGTATTGTTTGCTATGGGTTGAGGCATTTAGTCGTGTTTGCATAAGTCAGTGCTGTAGCTTCTTGACTTGCCCAGGCTCTTGTTGCTTCGGAGGATGTTCTCAGCGTAAACAAAGGTTGAACACAAGCCTTCTAGCTAGCAAACATGAGAAGAAAGGGCAGTTTGGACTGGACTCGCCCGTAGCGCATAAAGCTTGCACATGGCATCCGTATGGTAGGTGCTATGCGCTGCTTTGATTTATAGGGCAGAGGTGCCAGCTTTGCCTCGTTAACCCTCCAAGTCATGACAGGCATTTAGAGAGCTCTTACCCATTGCAGGTGGCTGAACGCAGGAGAAAGTATGGAGAGAACATCTACGACATCCCTCTGCCGGACTTCTGGGAACTTTTTCAGGACACGTGACTCGGGCTCGAGTGCGCAGGGTTGCATGAAGCTTACGGCGTTCGACTGTGCTTCGAAGGGATTCTTGTCAGTATCATGACAACTGGTGGAGGAGCACGCAGTGGCTCCCTTCTTTGTCTTCCAACTCTTCTGTGTGCTCCTGTGGCTCATGGATGAGTACTGGTACTACTCCTTGCTTACGCTGCCGCCTGCCTGCTAATTACATGCAATGGGATTCCGGAAATTCGGGATGATGGGCCAGGATCCAAGCTGGCCGCGGGCCCCGAATTCGATTGTTGGCGAAAGCTCCGCACATGGAGCTCGTCCGAGAGGCACAAGCGCTGAAGACACGACGAGTATGTATACATGGGAGAGAACCACCTCGGGCATGCAGCCGCGACACGCGGGTCCTCAAATGTCCTGAAGCTGGTTGCCATGACGTTTGGCATGCAACCACGACGCACAGGCGACAACGGTCCGGATCTCCAAAGTCGCTGAAAATGTCGAGAAGCGTCGCGCAACACGCATGGTTCTCGAGTCAGCTTGGCATGTTTGACGCATTGCCGACATCAAGTGCCTGGCGTCGCACCAAATGTGGCACGCGCTGCTTTGCAGATGCCTTGCCGATGCTGGTTTTCGTGTTTTTGCGAAGCGTTCGCCGGTGAATGCACAGCTGACCAAGACTGATCTAGTTTGACTCTCAAACATGCTGGCGCCTGCCTCCTACGCAAAGTGCTCTTGGCAGTGCCGGCAGTTGTTGACTCAGGTTCTTGCTAGTCGTGCTTGAGGCCGGGACAGCGCGGCAGGAACATGCACGCGCACGCGCGCGCGCGCGCGCACATTCATTTGTGTAAACTTTTGTGAGCCCCTCTGAGCAGTGAAGTATGATAGGTTGGTCAGCATCTGCACATGGCCCTGAGTTGCAGGCGCAAATGGTTCATCGCCGGCGCCACGACCTGTCCGAGTGACCTGCCTTCAGCACAATGTGAGGGTTTACGAAAATTAGGGGGACCCCCAAAATAGTAGGATCCCCTGATAATGAGGACCCCAATAAGGCCGTAGTTGTTCAACGAGCTCGAATGGGCCCTAAACCCTAGACCCTGAACCCTGAACCCTCAACCCTCAACCCTCAACCCTCAACCCTCAACCCTCAACCCTCAACCCTCAACCCTCAACCCTCAAACCCTAAACCGCAGCTCCAAGCTGCTTCGTCGTTCAGAGGCTCCGGGCTATGCGCATCCCGCCAATGCCCACGCTGGCCCTGCGGGCCGCTTTGCCGCGGAGATGTGCTGCCGTGCTTTGCTGCCCTTGGGGTCCGTTCGCAGGCCCCTAAACCCTAAACCCTAAACCCTAAACCCTAAGCCCTAAGCCCTACACCCTAAACCCTAAGCCCTAAACCCTAAACCCTAAACCCTAAACCCTAAGCCCTAAGCCCTAAACCCTAAACTATAAACCCTAAACCCTAAACCCTAAACCCGAAGCCCTAAGCCCTAAGCCCTAAACCCTAAACCCTAAACCCTAAACCCTAAACCCTAAACCCTAAACCCTAAACCCTAAACCCTATAAACCCTAAACCCTAAACCCTCGGAGTTCGGGAATTTCAGACTCCGAGGATGGCCAGTGGCAGGAGATCCAAAGCAACGAGCTTCTGCCTGGCGACGTCATCGGCATCCAGCGGAATCCTGAGGTGAGCCCGTGTGATGGTAGGGTTTGGGGTTTAGGGTTTAGGGTTTAGGGTTTAGGGTTTAGGGTTTAAGGGTTAGGGTTTAGGGTTTAGGGTTTAGGAAGTTTAGGGTTTAAGGTTTAGGGTTTAGGGGAGTTCTTCAAGACAAGGGCCAGGGACAAGGGCCAGGAGTCCCCGAGTTTTCAGAATTTGCGAGTGAGATCACCGCAGCTGCATAGTCCGTTCATGGTGAGGGCCTCGATCTGCGGCAATTCTCGAGTACTTTAAGCGCAACTTGCACAACACCGAACACTGCGCAAGGCGAGCGGTTAGAGAAGAAGCTATCACAAACCATTCGCCATATTTGCCAAATGCTTCACATGCTGGGAGGGCGAGTTCATGCACAGCACTCCAAGCTCAAACCCTTTTCATACACCCACGCGGGGGCTATTAGGGTATGGGCGGTGGGGGGGGGAAAAAGGGGAAGTGCACACATGTAGATCGGGACCCGGACCTGGCAGGCTTCCTTTCCTTGTGATGTGCTGCTGTTGCAAGGAGACCTGGCTCTATTGGATCAGCAAGCCCCAATACACGACCTTGGGGGGGCATAATGGGCACATGCATGACAGGGGACTGAAGCTCGGCCTGACAATGAGTCTGAAGTCCTGCGTGCTTCCGCGGTGTGGTGACCGAGGAAATGTCCTGGCAAATGAGGCGATGCTCACAGGGGAGAGCGTCCCACAGATGAAGGCATCTCAGCTGATACTGTACCTCATGCAGGTTCCCGCCTTTACAAATAGGTCCGTTACTGTAACGAGAAGTTGTGCAGGTTTCCATGGTCTACGGGTCTTGCACGATCTTAGCCACAAAAATGCGAGCCGGCCTCGAGAAAAGACCATGGTCCGGGCCGCGGGCGCGGCGTGTGCGCACCGATCCTAGCCCCTCCGACTCTGGGCGTTGGAACTCCCTAACTCCAAATCCTGTGAACGCGCGGTTTGGGGGAAACCAGCCCTTGACACCGACTTAAGCGCAAGGTCCATGCTGCTGCATCTGGCAACGCAGCAGGCACCAGTGGTACGGTCTGGTGCGCTTGGGTTGGGGGTTTTTACGGTTTTTGTGGGAAGTCGGGTTTGCAACTCATCAGCGAAGCGAACCTGAAACACTTATCAGGCGGGTATAAGGGGGTATAAAGGGGGTATATAGAGGGGGGCATAAAGGGGGGGTACAAAGGGGGACGTTCAACCATCATCTGAACTTAGATGGCTCCCTGCTGCAGACGGCTTGACCCTGATGTGGGAGATCTGATACCTGTTCGATCCTGCCTGTACACCTGAAAACACGATACTGTACCCCGCAGAAAGTCAAGAGTCATGCTCATCAACTCGCTCTTCACCCAGCTTCCACTGGGCATTTGCATTCGGGTTCTCCCATAGCCAACTCAGAGATTTGAAATTCGCCGTTTTCGGGGGTTCCATGTCTCATGATGCATTCGAGAAGGCCTGGCCCACCTAGACCCGGCTCCTTCCCCAAGCAACAACAAAACACAGCAAAAAAAACAAAAAAGAGCCAGTTCAACGTGATGTCGCAGGTTGCTCAGTCGTGCAGCCGAGTTTGAGATCGCTTCGGAACTCCTGCTCAAGACATGCTCGCCTTATAGTCTTATGAAAGCCAAGAGGTCGATTTTCGGTCTGCTTCCTTCATGCACAGCTTGCCGCCAACTCATCCCGTGCCGCCCTTGCCCTGGAACTCTCACCCTGCACGGCCCCCCCCCCCCCCCCCCCCAAAGCCCCACCCAAACCCCACCCAAACCCCACGACCCGTACCGATCCGACATCGCGATCCTCGCGCTTCGCTGGCTTGGGACGCCAAACGAGAACCCAAACCCGAGAGTGTTTTTGTGAAACAAATCTGAAGGAAAACCCTCAACCCTCAACCCTCAACCCTAAACCCTGAACCCTAAACCCTAAACCCTAAACCCTTCTGGATGCAGGCCAGATGTTGGAAATGATGGGCCGGCACAAGCAGCACATCGTCTCTGCCGGGACGTGCCCTGGCTCTGCTTGATTTTTTCTGGGGATATTCCCATTTTACACTAACAGTCCTTAGTAGGGAGTATAATCGGGGGTACTATAATCCCTACTAAGGACTGTTAGTATAAGGGGGAACATCCCAATCTTTCCCTCAGGTTTGACTTCGTTGTCGGATTTTGCTTGGCCTCTGGTGCTCCGCCAGTCCCCTGTGCAATGCCTCAATACCCCAACCTGCTGAAATCATCATCTTGGTAGCCCAGTGGTACCCTCTACTTTTTTTTGTTATGGGTTCCCTTATCAAGTAACCAACCCCAAAGAAGGGTGTCTTGATCAAAATATGGTTTCTGGGCTACCAAGTCATGGTTCTATGTTTTCAGGTAACCAGTGGACAAGGTTAAGTTCATGAACGTTTGCTTGGGGCAGCTGCTGCTTGAGCGATCTGGGCTGTCTGAACGCCCCCCGAAACCCAAAGCACGTGGCAAGTGTGCGTGCGCCAAGGAACATCATGATGCATCAGAACTCGGAGAGTCTTGGCGCGACTGACAGCCGGTGAGTTTGGGGTCCTGCAGTACGGGAGTGTGGGGACCGGAATGGCGGTGAGGGACTTGGCGACTTTGAGTTCAGGGGCTGCTTGAATAAGTCATCTTTCAAAGCTAAGGGATCATGGCTAGGAGCTGAAACAGTGCGAGTCCTAAACACCCTGTGCAGTCAAACTGTGCGAGAGAACTCCCGGTCGCATCTGAGGAAAGGCCGGAACCAGTGGAAGAAGGTCCCAGCCACACGCACCTCGACCCTGGCAGTGGGCTATGTGCCTCGGATGCCAAGGATCAGGGGAATTCTCATGTTTTGTTCTTGGTCATGTGGGACCTGTACTCCTTCGCGACGTCGCTCCGTGTGTGCGCGCATGCGGCGCTTCCTCCACAAACGCGGTCTCATGTTTGGCCTCGGCGCATGCTGGTGCCGAGCTGGTGCCAAGCTGTTGCTGCTGCTGGTGCTTATCGCCCATCATTCCCTGTGGGTTTTATCTGGTTCTTCGTGCTGTCACTCAAGTGAAAGTTTTGTTTTTGTTGGGGAAAGCCGGTTCATCCGCTCATGAATTTGACGAGCGCATCGAAGCTCTCCTGCGTAGCCACGGTGGACTTTCCGGAGCACACGCGCGTCCATGAACGCGCGCGCACGGGCGCCTGTCCTGCATGTGAGCTGTCGTCAATTGCCTCAGGGCTTTGTCTGAAGACTCTGGCCCTTCGCGTTGCTTGGTTCCATGGTTCTCTTTTGCTTGTTGGGGCTATTGGCCCTTTTCAACTGCTGCATTCCTCTTTTATGCCCCCGCTTCTTCTCATGGTCATGTTTTCCGCACCTTATCTAGTGCAGGTCGGCCACCCTAACGTCTGTGCTTCTTCCTCCTCTTTTGTCAATTGTGACCTTTCGCGCCTTCTGGTGGCCAGCTTCCCCAACACTAAGCGCTACACTTCAAACCCCATAGCCCTGAAGTTTTACTAGGACGTCCGTGCCCTGATGAGCCGACCTTCCACGACAAGTGCCACAGTAGAAGCGCAGGCAACCAAACGAAGCAGTTGCTAGTGGACGAGAGATTCCGGTAGAAAGGCGAGGTGTTAAACACCCGACGCCACACGTCGCTGCCTCTAAACCCAGGTCCTGCGGACTGGTTTCGACACGACGCAGGGGAAGCTGTGCCGGACAATCCTCTTCAGTGCGGACCGCGTCACCGTGTCAAGCAAGGCCCGCGGCCTTTCGTGGTCTTGACACCCACCAACTCCGAAGCCGGAACCCACAAAATGCTGCTGATGGAGTACGGTTCTTCGCCACCAGAGCTCGTTGTGCTTGTTGAACCCTGATTTCCCGAAGAGTCCGGGGAAAGATACATACATCTCGGGAGAGCCTCGGCAACCGCAGACCTCATGCAACACAACAACCCTCGACACTTGGACCTTAGCCAGGTTGACCTCTGAGACCCAGATCCAAGATGCCCTAAAATCTGTCAGCCCCAAAGCTCAAGAAGGTCTCGACATGTCTCGACTTTGGCCAATGCAGCGCAAAATTGGGCAGCTAGTGCTGGGGGGAAGCCGCAAGCCTGTTCTCGCATCACGTGAAAACTGTGCGAGCCGCACTTGAGACGAAGGTTGCTTCCAACGTTGAAGGCCGTTGCCATTCCTAGTTCTCATTTCGTTCCGTAAAGCATCACAATGTCTAAGTCTCGCAACAGCAGCTTCAATTCTTGCATGCAGGACCAGGTCGATGCAGAAACATTTGTGAAACAACGGGTGCATCGACAGAGTGAGAGCTCTGTAGGAGGGAGCTTGGGGAACCCTTAACATTGTAACATGTACCAAGAGCAGGATTCCCTTGATAATAAGGACCCCAAAAAGGTACCCCTAATATCGTAAACCACCACATCTGCACCCGGAGGAGGCATACTTCTTCATTGCCATCCTCCTGCTCTTTGCGGTTCTGGCATGCACCTTTGCGGACACGTCCGAACCTGCCGTAGCGTTGTCGTTGGTTCTCTTCATTTCGCAGGTCAGGAGGCCTTCTGCGTAGGTGTATTCTTAAGGTCCGAAGAGAGGTTAAGAGGAAAAGATTGGAATATGGCTCAGCCAATGGCTGCCAGTGGCAGCCAATGGGAGGTGTAGTTGAACCACTGGAAGCTGACGGCTTAAAGGCTTTGGAAAGAGCCCTTTGTAGTGCACTGCAAATCCACGCAACAACGGAAGAGAGAGAGGGGAGATTGGGTATAGACAATGCATAATATCCATGCAGGAAATGCTGGGAGATGTAACTCCAGCTCAGGAGCTGTTACGGGCTCTTCGGGACTAGACGGCCCCAGGCATTTACGTGCTCTATGACGGCCTCGTGCTGGTTCCAGCCCGTGGGGAGACACCACGCTCCACATTCAAGCTTTTGCTGCCTGTCAGCTTGCAGGGTTGCAGACGGGGCTCGGTCGGAATCGGGCGGGTTCAATGACAGGTTCAGGAGGGAGTTCAGGAGGTCCATCCAGCATCATGAGGCCAGCACGTTGCAAAAAGCAGAATTTTCCCCCTCTCAAGCGGACATTCTGGCAGTGGCCCGCAACTGACTTTCCAAAGAGCGCGTCCTGTACGCATGAGGTTGGCTGTAAGCCATATCATCACGATGCTCGGGCGGCATTTTGTTCTCGGGATTTCTCGGGGCTGCCAGGGTATTCGGGTCTCGGGTGAGGACAATACTGGACCCTAAACCCTAAACCCTGTTTGAGGATGCCACACCTTGTGATAGGCATGCATGCACGAAGTCTCGGAGCACGTGCATTTCTCGCGAGGTCCGTGGTTCCACCAGAGTTTCCGATCATGCTCCTCAGCTGTCACATGCTCCACAGACACGATCACCAAATCGGTGCATACCCCAACATCCCTAAACCCTAAACCCTAAACCCTAGACCCTAAACCCTAAACCATGCTACCGTGCTGTTGTTTGTGGTTTCGGGGCTTGGAGTCAGCGAGTTGGGGGCACGTTATTGTTCACCAGGTGTGCACCACATGGGTCGAAGAGTTTTGAGTTGAGACAGCATCACCTTCGGGTAGGCCATGCATTGCACGGGCCTAATTCAGTTCCTGCTACCTCGCTGGTCCTGCACTACAAACCTCACACGAAACCTCCGTGCAGCTGTTCGCATAGAGAACTGGTGCGTGGAGTTTCGTGTCTCTGTCTGTGTGTGGGCGTGTGTGTGCGAGTGTGCGAGAAGGCCCGAGGATGCCCTCCATCACAACCCGACACGTGGAACTGACTCCCCCTAGCACAGGAGGAGACCTGCAGCCCCAGCGGCTCTGATCTGTCGGAATGCAGACCGCAAGCACTAACAAGCACGCCTCAACGTCCCTCCTCCCCCGCCCCCCCATATGTTTTGCGTTGCTGTGTTTGGGTACGTTCGGCCATTTGGGGTCAATAGGATCTTAAAGCTTCGGCGCGGTTCGGAGATGCCAGGGTCCCTAGAACTAGACCGTCCTAGACCGTCCTAGACCGCAAGGCTGTCGCTGGCTGTCAACCTGAGCTTGGTCGCGCTGGTCTCGAAGAGGATTTTCTGTACGGAACCTTTCAGGACGGGTCTAGGGCTCTTTGGGTTTTGAGTTGGAATCTTGTGGCAAGTTGGAGGTTTGTGACATTCATTGTTGCGCACCTTGGCCAGGGTGCCGCTGGCCGGACAGCGCCCTGACTGCACAAACCGAACATCGCACGCGGCTGAAAGAGTGGGAGCCTGTTGAACTCCGACCTGCATGCTCTGCTCTCTTTGCGCAACGAGCTTGCATGTAGCAAAGTAGTTGCAGCAACATGGGTTTGTGCCTAGGTCTTTGAGAGACTGCAAAGCAAGCAAGTGCAAAGTGCGACAGGGGTGAAGCCAAGATTAAGGCTGGCATGGGAAGCTTGATGTCGGTGTAGCGCTCAGTGCCTTTCGAAAACTTTGCGCCGCCCAGGATTCAAACTTGCTGCTTCGACAAGACCGGAACGCTCACCAGTGACTCCATGGAGGTCGGAAGCAGCTTCCTTGGGACTTTGGACTTGGGGGCTTGAGCCCCTGCAGGTCGGATCCTATCGTGATCACATGACTGTGATTCGAACGGTGCGGGTGACGGTGTGAGCACAAACTACAAAGAGGCACTCAACCCCAAAGGATCGTTTTCTTCGGGAAGCGCTTTCCGCCTACTGGCTTGTCGCATCTCTTGCCAACTAGCGCTTGGCGACTGAAGGTTGAAGTCACAAACTTAACATCAAACATGTGGATCCCAAGCCGCAATGGCTGGAAAACACACTGATCGCTGCAGATGATTTGAGTGAACAGCATCAGGACCAAATCCAGAAACAGTGCCTCCCGAGGGCCTCCAGATGGGGGCGCGGGGCTAGAAAACGGAACGGAGGCGGTGCTTAAAAACAATAAGAGGGATCACCCAACAACGGCCACAAACCGCCCAAGTCGTGTGGAGTTTAGGGCTAGGGGTGTGCGGGGGTGTAGGGGGCTGTGTGTGGCAGTTCGGGGGGCTGCCGCCCCTACAAGTAGGTCACTGCTGGAGGGGGGGGGGGTAAAGGGAAGGGAGGGGAGGGGGGGGAAGGGAGGGGGGAAGGGAGGGGGGGGAAGGGAGGGGGGGAAGGGAGGGGGGGAAGGGAGTGGGAACGAAAGGGAGGGGGAAGGGGGAAGAGAGGGGGAAGGGAGGGAGAGGGAAGGAGGGAGCAGGTGGGTGTTGCTTATGCTCGCAGGAAGGCAGGAAGAAGTTGTTGCCGAATTAGAGCCACTTTTGGCTGAAACCTTCGTTGGGCTCTCAAACTCAAATTCCAGGGCCTAAACTTTCGCATGCCGCCCGGGCTACGGCGAAACTGTGCATGACAGGTTGGTGGCGTCCATGGCTTGGAGTATCCCGCCCCGCCGCTTGCGGAAGCCGTGGACGAGAAGGAGGTGGCCCGAATCCACAAGCCCCGGAGCTTGATTGTAATTTTACAAGCTATGTTCCCTATGCCGCCACCTGTCTTGCGCAGATCCAGATCGGTGAATGTGTTCATGGGTTTTGGCTGAGACTAGGTTATAGGTTGGAGCAGATGGTCTTTCAAAATATCTGCCCAGCACCAATCCAAGATGTAGAGTGTAGAGTTTGACCATGGGCGGACCATCTTTTGACCAAGTCCGGAGCAGCGTCGCGTTCCCTGATTTTTTAGATCTTGGTACAGCCTCGAAGCCCCTGCAGTGGCGCTACGGTAGCTTGGGGTTTAGGGTTTAGGGTTTAGGGTTAGGGTTTAGGGTTTAGGGTTTAGGGTTTAGGGTTTAGGGTTTAGGGTTTAGGGTTTAGGGTTTAGGGTTTAGGGTTTAGGGTTTAGGGTTTAGGGTTTAGGGCCTTAAACATGGCAGGTGCGGGAGGCGGCACCTCCCCTGCAGCAGACGCTGCCGGCCTTGTGTTCGGAGCCGTACGGAAGTTGGGGAGACTGGGAGTAGGCTTGTGGGTGTAGGCTCGTGCTGTGCGGCGGGTTGGGATGGTGGAAGTATTCACTACCCAATTTTTTCGATGGCTGTGTGTTTGAGGAAGTTGACGGGAGCTCAACTCAACCTTCAAGGTGAAAGGGTGTATGCATTAGTTGGAAAGGAGGCTCTGCTTGTTTTCGCAAGAAGAGCTTGTAACTAGCTCACGCGCACGCGCGCTAGGCAGCTGGTGGTTTCGTGGCTCTTGAACGTGCTTATTTCCTAAGTAAAACCTACTTCAAAAGCAACTTTTGCTTTCTTTAGAGAAGTTGGTTGTTTTTCTGGTTGGTGAGTGGTTTTATTGCATGCTCACAAAAGACGTGAATGCTTGTGACAGCACAAACAACCCTGTGCAGTATGTTGCGGGAAGAAGGAAAAAAGCCGTAAATGCCAGCGTTTTTGGCATGTTCGCGTTCGCGACAGTCCCGAATGCTCGTGACAGCTCGTCTTGTTCCAGACACGCCGAACATCGCGCTGAAGGAGGCAAGAACTCGATGGGCCATGTCGCAGGGGAACCTAGTTTGTAATTTGTAGGGTTTACACAGGGCTCCCCACAGAATGTCGCACAGAGAGTAGCGTGTGGGTGGTAAGCGACCCACACACTGCAGGTTCAGCACTCTGTAAGCACAGGTTCAGCACTCTGATGTCCGATACGTCCGATGCGCAAACAGCACTGCAACGCTCAGAGGCTTCCCTTTCTCTGCACGGCCGTGATGGCCGCCTGCAATGGCCTCACCGTCGTGGAGGGAGAGGCGGCTCCAAGATTTGAAGGGGGGCTTGGGGGGCAGGCCACAGGTCGATGAGAGGTGGAACTGAAAGCTTCTTGTGAATGTCGGCCTTCATATTGACATGTACCACCTGTACCATCTAGCTTATCTAGCTTACATAGACTGAAAGCCTGCGCCATAGAAGCTGAACTCGCACACTACACCCAAACAGCCGCAACCCGACACACCACCTTTACGCATGGGCAAGAACAGCTCGAAAACCACACTTGCGCTGTCCTAAACCCTAAACCCTAAACTACCCTAAACTACCCTAAACTACCCTAAACTACCCTAAACTACCCTAAACTACCCTAAACTACCCTAAACTACCCTAAACTACCCTAAACTACCCTAAACTACCCTAAACTACCCAAAACTACCCTAAACTACAGCCGAGATGAACCTACCGTCCTGAGCCTACACTGCAAACACCAAAGGTGGTGGGCGACCCTTTGGAGAAAGCGTCCCTGCAGGCGTGTTCTCTGGTAGGGTTGGGCGTGTGAAGCACAATCAGGTGTTCGGGATGTAGCGTTCTGGAATCTGAGCTTGAGGTAGGGGGGTTGTTCGGATCCCGGCGCTATCGTCTGACCTCTTTCACGAGGCCATGTTGGTTTTTGTGGACGTGACAAAGCTTGCAATTTGTTCCACATCTCTTGAAGCAGCCGCAACCCCCACGTCGCCCAAGTGGTAGATCCCACGTTGCATGCCGCCCATGCCCTTCCTTTACTGTACCCTTCCTCAGTCCTTGATGGCTTGGGCTCAGTTTTGAGGTGCAAGTAATGAACCAATCCCCTACCTTCGGGGCATAAAGCCCGACATCTCGAGCTCAGCACCCTACGTTCCTTAGTTCTCCATGTCTGCAAGTCCGAAACCCGAAACTTCCCGGGGACCACTCGACTGCTCGACGCTGCAAGACACTGATTTTTGGGAGCACAGGGAATGTCGGTAGACTCGGCCACCTGGTCTTCGGGAGGCGATGGCGGCCGAACAGTTTAAAGGACCCTGTGCTTTCAACCCGCTACTGGTACAAAGGGGGTTTCCGAAAATCAGGGACCCCTAATATCGACCCCCCAAAAGTAAGGGTTCCCTTGTAATAAGGATTAAGAAGCCCCTAGTTTCGGAAACAACCATATAGGTTGCATTGAGTTGACGGATCCCGAGATCCCTAAAACACCGCAAGTCCCTGACGCGGCGAGGCCATCCGCTGGCTCATGAAGGCCCCAGACCTGGTCACCTCGAAGACAGGCCCCCGTGCCCACGTAGAAGTTTTAGAGCCGCGGTCGGGCGTAGGCTGGGCAGTTTTTGTGTTGAGGCTTCAGCTTAAGTGGTCTTTTGCGCTCTGCGAGCTGGTATCGGAGTATGCTGGCATGCTGAATACAGCTCTTCATGGTGGTTTGAACGAAATCTTTGGGATGTAGTTTGGTGTGATTGTCTGGGCTGATGTTAAAGATTGATCACAGGTGTTTAGGGTTTAGGGTTTAGGGTTTAGGGTTTAGGGTTTAGGGTTTAGTATAATAAGTACCCATGCCGCAGGCAAGGGTGGCGATCTGCTCCACGTCCTCCGCCGCTGGCCCTTTGTGTCCGAGCTGAGGAGGCCTCAACTAACCTGATTTAGGGTTGAGGGTTTCGGATTTAGGGTTAGAGTTCAGGGTGTGGGGTTTAGGGTTTAGGGTTTCGGGTTTAGGGTTTAGGGTTTAGAGTTCAGGGTTTGGGGTTTAGGCCGGTTTAGGGTTTAGGGTTTAGGGCATGTTCGGTTGCGAGCTATCCTTCATGGCTCGCATTGCGGATTGTGCTGGTACGTGCTTGGTGGGATCGATCCAAACCTTGAACCGACCAGCAGCCCAAGATCCTTCAAGCCCAAATCCCTTCAATCCCCCAAGCTCTGAACCTCTAAGCATGCTTTAGGGCATAGTAAATCGCCAGTTCTTGAAATGTCCGGAATTCACACCCCAAGCGCCAAATCTTAGAGCCTGCAGGATGTAAGATCCTAATCCCCAACCCCCCAAACAGAACGACCATCCACCCTTAACCACCCCGAACATCATCGAACCCCTCCATACCTCGCAATGAAAGCCGGGAGGATGGCAGTCGTCGTGCGCCATCGGGGGCCCGGCCAAGGCTACCAGGAAACAAAAGGCCGGAAGAGTCTTTTTTTGAACTATTCTTATTCTCATTCTCATTCTTATTCTTATTCTTATTCTTACTCTTATTCGTATTCTTATTCTCATTCTTATTCTTATTCGTATTCTTCGTCTTCTTTGGGGAGGGGGGGGGAGGGGGAGGGCGAGGGGGAGGGGGGTGTGCGTTGAAAGGTGTCTGTTGTGGGGCTTTGTGTGACGCTTTGGGATCTGGTAGCCTGAGCGTAAGCGCTGAGGGTAGTGTTGCAGCTCTGATTCTCGGTGCTTCTTTGCCGTTTCCGAGTTCAGACCAGCAGCTGCGCAACTGCTGGTCAGCGTGCTCGCTTGGGCTTATTCTCTACTCAGCTTGTGCGCAGACGACAAAGCGACTATCCATGTCTTAAGTTTATGGTAGTTTGTGCCTGTGCCCGTTTATACCTCAACTTTAATAGAATCCCCTTAAAGAGGGTACCTCTATTTTCGGAAGCCCCCCATAGACGAGTTTAGTACAGAAGCCTCGGCTCTCTGTGTAGCTGCCAGTGCGCAGGTGGCCAAAAGGATCTTGACCGAGTGCTCGCTCTTGTGACGCTGGGGCCTGTTCAGGAAACTCCACAACCTCAAACCAACTCCCAAACTGCTCGCACTCAACCTCCAGCTCCGGCGCAACCTGCCCTGAACTGAGCCAGTTTGTGTCCAGGATTGTATAGGTTGGTCTCGGGAATGGTCCAGTTTCATGGGGGGGCTGGCGAGGAGTTGATTGGCTCATGGGTACGGCTTCGAAGCCAAAAACTTCGAAGCCACTCACCTTCAGCGGTTGACAGGTCTGCTAGGTTCACAGCCCAGCTGACCCTCACACCCTTCAGAACGAACCGACTGTTGCCAAGGAAGGGCTCGTGCGACGTCCTGAAGCCTCGTTGCCTAGCGGCATTTCCTGGTTCTAGTGCCGAGCCCTGAACCTTTAAATGGGCCCCCAAACCCTACCCTAAACCCTACAACCCCCAAACCCTGCACCCTACCCCTGTTCTCTTCAGTCTTAGGCATGCCATGATCCGCTGTGCCCTGCTGAAAGTTGCTTCAGCAGCTTAAACACCACGCCTCAGTGAATCCCAGAAATGTTCACCCCCCCCCCCCCCCCCAAAAAAAAAAAAAAACAACTGACAAAAAGGACATCAAAGCCTCAAGCCCAGGCATGGTTCAGGTGCCACCAAACCTGGACGAGATGCAGGACAGGGTTCGGGTCGATGATCCTTGATGAGGTTGTTGGGCATGTAAGCTTCTCATGGCCCCTCGCACACCTCATTTCAGCGCAACTTCCAACTTCGGAACCGGAGCTGAGGTGCTCTGACATGTTGAGGTCTGGGGCTTCTGGAATTCAGATGTTACGCAGGGGCTTTGTCAGAGTCATTCAGACTCTGCGGACATTCTCCAGGGACGTGTGGAGGGCTGATTCAGCTCAGGTTACGGCCTGTGCCTGGATCTCTGCTTTGGCCGTGGAAAGCTTGAGACACCACTTCGGCTGATGGCTTGTGGCATGCGGATGGGGCTTATTCAAATTCGAAGGCACCAATGATCTAGGACATGTTAATGCCTGGCGTTTAGGGCTAAACCAGCAATTGCCAGACTGCGAGGATCAGCTCACCAAATTTGGCTTCCGCGTGCTCTGCCTGGCAGCAAAGGATGACGGGGCAGGGACCGTAGGCACCTCTAGATTTCTCTTGGATTCGGTGTTGGGCACGTGGGACAATCTCTATCCCTATTTCCATCCAGCCTCCTGGTTCTGTGCAGGAGCTGTCTGCCGGCACAAGCATGGATGCCGAAGCCTTGGCCCCCCGGACGATACGGGCAGGCCTCAACATGTCAGAGCACCAAGACTTCTCACAGCACTTCTCGCAGAGAAAGCATACAACCCGTCACGCATACACTGAAGCATCTCGGAAGCCGACGAAGCATCCTCTGCCCTAGCACCAGACTCTAAGCCCCTATGTTCCTGAATCTCCATTGGACTCAATCTTGACTCCTTAAGTCGCAGCTAAGGAGCGAGAGGACGTGGAGGCACGTGTTCGGAACTGTCCATTCACAGGGGTTGGGAGGAGGGGGAAATCACATCCTGATGGATTTCCTAAACCCTAAACCCTAAACCCTAAACCCTAAACCCTAAACCCTAAACCCTTAACCCTTAACCCTTAACCCTTAAACCCTAAACCCTAAACCCTTAAACCCTAAACCTTATTCTTGCCAAGCATGGAGTCGAGCAGCGAAGTCTCTCTCTGCTCTGCAAGGCTGGCCTCCAGTTCTGTGGGCTCTTGGTCCTGCGGAACTCTGCCACTCTGCCCATGCAACACCCCGAGGGCCTCTAAAAAGCCCAGAAAGCCACACGAAGTGGGTGCATGCATAGTGTAGTGCAGAAGTGTCGATCCCCAAGCTGATTCACGTACATCAGAGTGACTACAGTTGCCTGTTTGTTGCATCTTGGCATGCTCCAAGGTGAAGCCCAACACGTCGAACACCATCCGCCAGCTGCGGCAAAGTGGCCTGGCCCTGGTTGTGACATTGTCTTCTCGGTTTTGCGGTTTTGTTTTTGGTTCTGGTCGCGGCGGCGGCGGCTGCTGCTGCTGCTGCTGCTGCTGCTATTGTGGTGCAGGAGTGTAGGCACACAGGCCGCTAAACCTGCAGAGGCTACCACAGAGTCATCATGATCACCGGAGACCATCCGTTGACTGCCTGCCAAGTGGCGAAGAACGTGAGTCGCTTTGCTCGCAGCAAGCTTGTGCGCAGGACTGCGTCTGCGGAACCTTTAGGATCTAGTTTGCTTTTATGACGTTTGAGGTTTTCCAAATCTTGCAGGAATAAGCTCTGGCTTCTAGTTTACAGGACCCGGCCCAGGTCAGTAATTGACCCTCGCGAAAACACAGCGAAAAGCACGCTTCAGCTTGTTCAGCCATTGATTTCTCGGTCTATGTTTACCTGCCATTTTCCAAGATAGACAGCATGATGAGCAAAGACCATTCTCGACAGGTTCTTGGACAGACTAGGTACGCAGGAAAGGCCAAAAGGTCCCAGCCATGGGATGATGTGGGGCCACAAAACTGCACATCCCGTTCCACAACATGCCAGTGCATGTGGGAAGGGCCATATTTCGCAGCGACGTGTTTCTCTGAGAGAGACATTCGTTTGCTTTGAGTCAACCCCAACCGTTGCAGTTTCTGGGCCAGATCTTCTCTAAGGCATGGCAGAAAACCGTTTCCTCGTGCTGGATGATGCATCTTGCTTGAGATGCCATTGCCGAGTAATTCGGGTTCAGGGTTCATGACAGTAGTTCGGGGATGAAGGACAGCTGCCGGGCTGTCTAGGGTTGAAACCCGGAAGCCATGACATCCCTGACATGCACTCCTCTTTGACTTGCAGACTTCTGAGCCCATATTGCATGACGGTAGAGTTCGGGTTGGGGGAAATCAGGGGAAGCATGTGTGCAGCTCAAGAGGCACTGTTGTAACATGCTTGCAACATTCTTGCCATACTTGCCTGAAACGAGGTGGACCCCTCCGCAGCACTGGAGTGGAAGTATTGGGACCACCAGGCAAAGCAGTTGAAATCACAGCATCTGTAAGCTGTTCCTATTGTGAAGGGGTGGGTTCCTCCACAACTTGCACCCGCACGGCGTGGCTGCAGACTTGGGCAGGTCGTTTGTTTGCGCAAGTTCCCCTTTAGCCTACCTTGCTGCGGCCGCTGCTTGCACACAGCGGCTTCATGGGTTTCAAGCCAGCACGACTAGGAGCTGCCAGTAGAGAGTGTTCATTTCAGCACAATTAGGGTTTTGGGTTTAGGGTTTAGGGTTTTCATGGTTGCGTGCAGGTCCACGACCAGATCCCCTTCACGCTGGGGCCGCAGCTGCAAAAGCTGGCACGGAGCCACACACTCTGCGTCACGGGAAGTGCCCTTGCAAGAATGAGCAAGGCCTGGCACTGACATACTATGACTTTGCGAACTTTGTGAGTCCAGTCATGTCCAGTCTGTCGGGCCCCCGTTCTTTCGCCAGTGTCGCAGGGCAGTTGAGCCTAAGCCTGATTCACCTTCATTCACGGAGGCTGTGTGTTTTTGCATGCAGGCTGAAGTCACTTGCGTGGTCGAACTGGCCACCGTCTTTGCGCGGGTGTCGCCGCAGCAGAAGGAGCAGGTGGTCCTTGCGCTGAACGCCAAATCCCATACAGTCATGGTGGGAGATGGTACCAATGATGTGGGGGCCCTCAAGCACGCGCACGTGGGAATCTCGCTGATGACCACCAGCATTATTCCTCGCCTGTCTATGGCAAGGTGGGAACGTCTTCAAAATATTTCAAAACACTGGGGCCTGTCCGTCTTCACCGCGTTTAACTGCAACCAACCTCCAAAGCTTTCTGGGGGTTTCCCAAAAAAAAGCGACCCCGAATATAGACCCGCCAATAGAAAAGATTCCCTTATAAGAAGCACTCCCATAACGTACCCCTGGTGATTAGCCCTAACTTCGGAAGCACCCTTCTAGGTCGCAAAAGTCGGTCAACGAGCTGCTGGCCGACAACGGTCAGGTTCCCCTTGTGCGGCTTGGCGACGCGAGCATCGCCAGCCCCTTCACCTACAAGGGCGACTCCATCAAGTGCAGCATCCAGGTGCTGCGCAGTGGCCGTGCCACACTCTGTTCCGTCCTCATGATGTACAAGACCTTCTGGCTGTTCTTGGCACAAGCTGTCTTTTGGGAGTAGCTCTAGGAAGTCTACTAAGCCATGACAGGCCCAACCCACCGCAAGACCCGCAGCAAAGGATCATGGGTCTGAACAGTATCCTCTCGGCATTTGCCATGCAACTTGGCCCATGGTGGATGAAGTTTCAATTCACCTGAATTCACCTGCTTTGTTAGTATGTTTAAGCGGACGCGACTGGGCTGAGCATGGTCGGCAGCATGGGGAGAAGTTTTGGGCAACAGCTCAGGTCTGCGCTGACGTTGGATGGTGTCAAGCTCGGCGATGGGCAAACTGCAATGGAATCCCTTCTCACGTCCATGTGCACCTTGACTTCATCGGATGACAGAGGACAGACTCCAGGAACGTGATTTTGAGCGCGATGTTCGCGAGTGCTTCCCAATTTTGACACAAAGTCCTGAACGACTTGCATGATCACTACGTATGGAATGACTCGACAAGCGTGTCTTTGCTTCAGATCCCTCGGCTTTAGCTCGAAGTTCTGAGGCTTTTTCCTCGTCTCTCGGAGCACGCCCGCCAAACAGTTGGCGAGACAGCAGCTCTGCCAAAGTGTGGGTGCTGTGCGGTCTGGAGCGACGTGGTTGTAGTCCTGCAGTTGGGGTCGTGTCTTCGTCGCATCTGCTGGGACATCTAGACAGATTTTAACCAAAGTCTCTGGTCCTCTCACAACGAGTCAGTCCCCGTCCAGTCAAGGCCCGCAAAAGGAATCTGTTACAATCAGCTGGTGCGCAACAGGTTCATGCACTCAGGACCACAGAGAGAAGAGATAAGATTTGGCTTTTTGTCCCTGCAACAGCTTCGATGAAAGGGTCCTTCTTTCGTCCGGAAGGTTGAGGCCTCTCTTGATCTCCGTCTCTGTTCCTTGTCAACATCCTTCCGATTACCGGCCTTCTTCGGCCCGAACCCCGACCAGGCGTCTTATCGAGCGCCTTTGACTGTGCCCTCTTTAGGGGTCTTAGTTTTCAAGTTTTCATGTTCAGGCACCTTTTGAACCGCGGGTCCGTCCTGAAGGCATCTGGGGTCCCAGAAAGCATCGGTTTCTTCAGGCCTGCAAAATCCCAGGGAAGCTCACCTCAGCCTGTGGGCTGAGGCAGCCGATCAGCTCCGTCTTCGCCTGGCCGGTAGTGGCAACTTGAGCTGCTGAAGTGCTGCAAAAATTAGTTTTCCCTCATCCGTTAGGGTTTAGGGTTTAGTTTTCAGTTTTTCAAATTGTGGAGATGTGTAAAGTTGATGATAACGAGTAGTTTGGGAGCAGATGTACAAGCGACGGCGGGGCCTCAGGAGCAGCCAAGGCAACCCTGGCCTGTCAGCTGGTCATCCACATGGTCATCTTGCTCCCCGGCGGCGAGTGGACAGGGAGCTCGTCATGGCCGTAGGGAGTTGTAGTTATGGTTTTCAGTGCCAATGGAATGCGATGTTATGGACAGTCTCTCATGTTAGGTACTTTCACGGGAAGGGCAAGGCCCTGCTACGCCTGGCCTTGGGTCATTCAGAGATGCCAAGCAGATGCTTCAGACCTCCAGAGCCAAGGTTCTTTGGCTGGCAGATGGCCAACCAATGGCGGGCGAAAGATTTCAAGAGACGCTCGGAGAGAAGGGAGCCTATAGGAGCCTAGTATGCCGTTCGCCTGAGCTCAGTACGCTTTGAGTGGGGTTTAGGGTTTAGGGTTTAGGGTTTAGGGTTTAGGGTTTAGGATTTAGGGTTTAGGGTTTAGGGTTTAAGGTTTAGGGTTTAGGGTTTAGGGTTTCTTTGCAAGGAGACCTGGAGGGCGAGTTCGCACCCAATCTGACAAATACCGCGGCTCGGCCGCATGCCTGCCCTCTTCGCAACATGCGGCACTGTCTCTGCAGCACCGTCATCTGCCAATTCCACGCTTCCATGCTGTCTGTGCTAGGTGGGCCCCCGAGACATCTTATATTTTCCCGTTTTGGGTTTGAGAGGATCATCTTCAGGAAGAATTTTCACACGGTTTTCAGGGCTTCACACGGTTTTAAGGGCCATGCTAGTGTGCCTTCTCCTGCCGTGTTCGTTCCAAGGTGGTCTTCGAGCTTATGGCCGCCATGCCACTCGGCTCTCATCCGAGTCGACACACCCCAAGAGCAAAGCGATCTGATCAGTCATTTCAGAGTCACACTTCGGGTCTATAGGGTTTAGGGTTTAGGGTTTAGGGTTTAGGGTTTAGGGTTTAGGGTCAGATGCTGCAGGAACTCAAAACCGCGAAAGACCAAACTGTCCCAATGCCTGCCCTTACATTCACTTCCTGGCTCACACACGGCAGACCCCATCTTCAAGGGGCAGTGTCTCGGGTATTTAGGGTTTAGGGTTTAGGGCTTAGGGCTTAGGGTTTAGGGTTTGAGACTACGAGCCTGCTGACATCCCTGGACGCAATCTCTGCCACCCTTCAGGTGGTCCTGGAACCCTAAGCTTCCAAACGTAAAAGTGCTCTGGGACTCTCAGGCACGCAGCTTCTTTCCTTGCGAACTACGATGGCCACCCCTTCATGCAGCCGTTGTCCACGAACCGGCCGTTGATGCCCCTTGGCTTGAGATTCTAAGAAATTTGGGGTCAGGTTAAGGTTTCTGTTTACTATCACGAGTACTAGGTACTGGCTCTTGTGCCAGTGCCAGTGCGGGTTCATGCGGGTCCTATTACTATTGCGAGGTGCCACGCCCATCCTTGTGGCGTGGAAGATGTTGGACATCCACAATCGAAAAGCGTTTTGCCAGTTGCGAACGCGCACGTGATTTTTCTTACATCTTTCGCGCACTTGTAAAAGGTTTGCACCGAGTGGATACCGCATTGATATGTTATTCTACATATGCCTGTGCCTTTTTGGGGTAGGGTGTAAAGATAAATCATCAAATCGAGGACTCCTGCCGTCTGTTTGACTTTGTTTGCAGCGGACGTTTTGAGGCTTCGTACTTGCTTGGGTTTTTGGATTTCTGAAGCATCCTCTGAGAGCTTGGGGTATATTTGCAGCCCTCGCCCTCAATTGATCAGCATTGTATGGGGGTTTACGAAAATAGGGGACTCCCCCCGCACCCCCCCCTCCCGAAGAGTAGGATTCCCTTTTTGTAAGGATCCCAATATCGGAAACCCTAAACCCTACACCCTAAACCCTAAACCCCTAAACCCCCCCCCCCAAGCAAGGTATAGCCTGGTCCTCTTCGTGACGGCCATCATCGCCTGTGCCTCCGAAGTGGTCCCGGATTTAAACCACTCTCTATCCCTGGTGCTGAGCCCTAACGAGGACAGACTTGTGCTGGTGAGGTTTTGGGTGTGCGATTTTTTCGGTCCTGCTGCTGCATGTTGCCACTTAAGATTCTGCAAGGGATCTGGATCTTGAATCTCGGGGTTTCCGAGCGGTGAGCAAGGCTCTGTCTGGGCCATCAGATCATGTTTGGGCGTGGCAGGAGTTCAGGCGGACGCTGCTGATGTGACTTTGTTAAATGGTATGCACCAAACTGACATGGGCTTTCGTAGCTGGTCATGGCTAGGATCATCCCAGGTTCTGCCATTCTGTCTCGGCCACTAGCCGATGTTGCATCTGAGGCTTGTGATTGCCGACATTGGGCTCTCGGTGTTCATCTCGCGGCTGATCAGCAGCTGCACGGCTTCAACTTGTGGAATGCGTCGGGCGAGCAGTGCCGTACCATACCCTCTCTCCAATTTCCCAATCACAGGCATCCTTAAGTATGTTCTGCTTGTATAGACTGCGACTGCAAACAGTGAACAGCCTCCCATGTTCTGGCGGTCAACCAGCATGCTTCGCGACAACGAAACAGTGATGAACGCACACGGAGACACACAGAGACAAACAGAGACACACAGAGACACACAGAGGAACCATGAAGAATGATCGATATTCTATATATTGTATGTATATATGTATATATTACAAATATATATATATATATATATATATATATTATATTGTTTATGTCAATAGAGGTAGGGTCTTATGTGGTTTCCAGGGGCTTCAAGCCGGAGCCCTTCAAAAGGCCTCGCCGTTCGGCTCCGCGGGCACCTGGCGGAGCGCCGTGCCGCAGAGCTGGGACTCGGCAGCCCGGCGAGAAGCAGTGGGAAGCAATGAGAAAGAGTAGGGTTTAGGGTTTAGGGTTTAGGGTTTAGGGTTAGGGTTTAGGGTTTAGGGCAGAGGAGCTCGAGGGCCTCTGAGGCTTTAGACCCTTGCAGGGTGTATAAGTCTCAGAGGGCTTTTGGGTTTTGGGGTTGGCAAGCCAAACAAGACGCCGAAGAGGGCCATGCTCATCAGTTTTAACCGGGAATTCATTCTTCAGGGTGTTCGGGCTTCTTGGTTTGGGAAGTCGGGCTACACTCGAATGATGAATGCGGAGCAGCTTGAGGTGACCCCTGGGCTCCCCGGCCTTAAACTTAAACCCTAGCCTGCAGCCTGTGGACATAAGCAGCTTTCAGCTCTTCAGGGGATGGTGGGATGCAGGGCTCGTGCTCCGTCCGTCTTTGCGGGTTTTGCGGCGGCTCGAGTCAGGCAGGCCCTTGCGCAGTCCAGGCCGCCTAGGGTCGCGCAGGACGACGATTCTCTAAGTTCTCGAAGGCCTACCGAGCCCATGAAACCCCACACCGTATGTTTTGAAAAAAGGCAACGGAAAGGTACTGTGCCGTTCAGCAATCCTCAAAGAGTTTAGTTTGGGCTGTCCCAACAAGCCTGCGGAGTTCGACTGGCTGCTATACTCTGATTAAATCTCATTCGAAAGCTTCAATCGAAACTTGCAACACGCAAAGGCTTTGCTGATCTAGGTCGTCCTGTTGAAGACACGAAGGTCATACAGCGCACTGCATAAGAGCTTTGCAGCCCGCCATGTGAGCATCCCATTCTGTATCCTCCCAAATCCACGCACAGTCCGAGATCCCAGCTTGTAGACCGCAAGTGGGAACCGCATACCCAAAACAACCAATTCCTTGGCCCAACCACAATCCAAGGTTTGCCGATGGCCGAGTCATCGAAAACTCGGGCAAGTGGTAAACAAAAGCTGTGGCATTCGCGAAGAGGGCTTGCGACGGTTTCGGCACGAATCCCTGCCCTCCATTACAAAGGGTCTTCCCAACGTTGAGTATCATACCCTGGAGTCTCGAATTTTGCCAGGGCCAGAAGGGGGTGGTTTGTGGTTGATCAAAGTTCCTTGTGATTCTAGTATGGCCCAAAAACTCAAACTCTGCCTAAGCCCCGAACCTTCAAACTCCATCAACTCTCGGCCGTCATGAAACCCAACGCCACGCGCGAGCCCTTTACGCCAATCAACAAACCGAATCCGAAGCCCTCCCATCCTCAAGAGTTTCACCGAGTCCATAAACCCCAAGGCCTTTTCGGGGGCTTTTTTGATTGGGTTTCCGAGGTTGGGAGACTCAACATGTGGACTCCGAGCAACAGAGGTCAGAGCGTCACAACGCTCGTCCATGTTCCCTGGCGCCTCTTAGTAAAGCCTTCGGCAACCCTGCATCTGTGGGGCATTGTCTGATTTCAAGGTTTCCGCCTGAACGTCTCATCATGGGATGGTCTCTGAGCAAAATCAGGTTGAACCTTTGGTGAAACCCAGCGCGGCTTTGCAAAGCTGAGGCTCTTGGTTCTACGTTCTGGCCTGATGGGGCAGCGTTTGAGTCATGCAGGTTTGGTACTGCAGGGCTTGTGCAAAGAATGCCTGAGAAAAAAGCGTAGCTGGTTTGTTTCACCACGCTGTTACCCTAAACCCTAAACCCGAAACCCTAAACCCTAAACCCAGATGCATCACGTCTTCCAGGAGCTGATGGAAGAGTTTCTGCAAGAGGTTTCTGCTAGTCACCGCATGGTTCCCTGAGTCCGACCAAACCCACAACCCAAAATCACTAATGATTAGGGTTTAGGGTTTAGGGTTGAGGGTTTAGGGTTGAGGGATTTGCCTTAAATACTAAGTCCAAAAGCCGTCTCTTTCTTGCTTGGTTGCTGGGGGGACCTAGTTTTGGGGTTCTGAGATTCGGGGCATGGGGATGATAATAGTATCATCGGCAGCGGGCTTCCAGCGACAAGTGGGCAGAGTAGCAACGTCCGGGCCTGACATCTCTCTCCCGACACCAGAATGATGCGCGCTGGGCCCCCAGTGTGGATGCAATTCTGAAGTCTTGCCTGTGTTACCATGAGCCCTACACCCTCACCCTAACCATCCCCCTCCCCCCCCCCTCCCCCCCCCCCCCTCCCCCCCCCCCCCCTTCCCCCCCCCCTCCCCCGCCCCCCCCCCCGCCCCCAAAGAATGGAACATCTTGGATAGGGCAGCCGGGCAGGACTTGAGGAACAGGAGTTTAGGAGCTGAAATTCAACAAGGGCACTGGTCTTGTTTGCTATAGAACCTATTTTAAGCTCCTTGGAAAGAACCCAGATTTGGAGTTCAGGTATGAAGGCTTTAGGGCTTCTTGATTCGAGAGTTTGAGCTTAGGGTTTGTAGGTCCAGGGTTTTAGGGTTTAACGTTCTGGGTTTGGAGGGTTTTCAGGGCTTGAATGGTCGAGGCTTCAGGGTCAATGAACCTCAGCCGTGGCGCAGAAGCCCTCAACCCGCAACCTCAATCGTCAACTCAGCCCGAAACCCCAAACCCTAAACCCGAAACCCTAAACGCGAGAAGAACCAGGCATTGATCTTCGTGGCTTCCTGCTCCGCCGTGGGAGCCTCGCTTTTCTGATGGGAGTTGCAGATCCTCTTACTCTGGGTGATTTTGGGGGTTGTTTAGGTTTAGATCCCCCTTATCTCCACCCTGTGCATCCTGGTCTGCGCTTTTCGGGTCAAGGTTTCGGGTTCAGGGTTAGGCACTTAAGGTTTCGGATTCCCCCCTGTGGTTCGCGGCTGTTTTACGGTTGATGGTCACGGTTTGGGGGGGGGGGGGGCGGAGGACAATGGGGGGGGGGGGGTCGACAACGAGGAGCACGGTAAGGTTTGGGGGTGTTTAGAAGGTTTAGGTTTTGCAATCAGCGTCCATGATTCAACTTGCAACCATCTAATAGTATCACCGGGAGGGTGGGAGGGGGATGCGGCGGGGGCGGGGGGGTCTCCACGCAAAAGCTGGTGTTGGAGGCCCTGGCATTCATTCCTCCAGCGCAGCAGATGAACTCGAAGCCTCAGGCCCGGGGATGAAGGTGTTTGGAGGCTTTGGAGGTTTTGGGGTTGTTTTGGGTGTTTTTGGAGCCTCTAAACCTTTGGACCACCCGCCTGCCAGGCCCCGGTCAGCTACTCCGCGCAGGAACAGGGCAGCCAGGCAAGTTTTCAGCGTCTAAGGCTTTGAGGGCTCAGGGCCTAGGATTTCCAGTGTATGGTTTAGGAAGTTTATGAATCAATCAAGCGTTTCGGGCACATGCTGCGCAGGGGTTTTGGCTGCTGTGGGCATGCTCTTTGGCGCTGGGGGGTTGAAGCTGTAGAGGGTTTGGGGCCAGTTTGGGGTTCAGGGCTTCGGGTTTCGGGTTACAGTATGAAGGGTTGGCAGGGAGTTTTGGGAGCACTTCGACCCTCAACGCGCGCGACTTTTCTCAGGTTGCCCAAAGCTAAGACCATTGGGAGGGTACAAGCTTGTGTAAGAGTCTTCGGATATGCTTGGTTCAAGCCTAACCCGAAGGTTGAATCTAACGGGGCTGTCAGGTATGGGTCAAGGGTGGAGGGTTGTAGAAGAAGAAGCAGAAGAAGAAGAAGAACAAGAAGAAGAAGAAGAAGAAGAAGAAGAAGAAGAAGAAGAAGAAGAAGAAGAAGAAGAAGAAGAAAAAGAAGAATATGAATAATAATAATAATAAGAAGACGACGAAGACGAAGAAGAAGAAGAAGAAGAAGAAGAAGAAGAAGAAGAAGAAGAAGAAGAAGAAGAAGAAGAAGAAGAAGAAGAAGAAGAAGACGAAGACGAAGACGAAGACGAAGACGAAGACGAAGACGAAGACGAAGACGAAGACGAAGCGGAAGAGCAACAATACGGCAACACGAAGAACAACTGGAACGACCAGCAACAATAGCAATCACAAGAACAAGACAAGTAACGGCAGCAACAACAAGTACCAGTACAAACACACAAAGAAAGCAGTATATGCAAATACACAACACGAACACAAACATTTTTCTTTTCCTTGCATGTTTTGTTAGGTGGAAGCAAAGGAAAATATGCAACAGAGAAGCCACAACGACAGCAAATACAAATTTTGACAGTGGAAATCCCTTTGCGTAAGCGCGCGTGTTGCCCGTGCCCGTACCGGACCCGGTTTCCCCCGCCCCTGCCCCCCCTTCCCCAGCTGCTGCTGATGCTGAAGAGGGGTTGGCTCCAACGACTCCACCATGGTACCCAAACAACGCACCGACACTGAAAAAATCTTGGTATGCTGCCCAAAGCTGCGCATCATCGACGCCCCTGGCTTCTTGATGCTTGCCTCCGTGATCCCGAGGAAAAAGCCAAGCGTGGCTTTAGCGTACCAGCGTCTCCGGTCCGGGGGTCTGGGTGGCGCTGTTGGGGCCTCGAACAAGGAGCACCCACAAGCACGCGAAAGCACACAGATTCGGAGTTTCTAGCCCCCACGCAGATTCGGAGTTTCCAGGTTCGCCCCAAAAAAGAAAAATAGGGTCGACAATGCGCATGTAGGAGCAATAAACTCTAGACCCTGAGTCCCAAAGCCCTATAACACTGACTACAAAGCTGCAGCCATACTGCCCGCTTGGCCAGGGGCGTGTTGGCTGGGGTTTAGGAGGTGCAAACCTTCCGTTTTCCCTCGTTGCTCGGTCCAGTCCCATTTGACATTCGAACATTCTGATGGACCCTTGCAAACAAACAAGTCCGGCCAGTAGTTCGTTCGTTTTCTGCAGGGCCACACCCTAACGAAATCCTTGGGATCCCCCTCCCTCAGGGCTCGGGGATTGAGGGTACACCCCAACCCTGAAGCCCTACACCACACGACCCCACACCATGTTCGCAGGCCTCGAGCCCGTCTTGGCCTTGGTGGACAGGGGGTTCTGTGGAGCACCGACCATGGAACCCCTGAAGTACGAACCGTACATACCGCTCAGAGCACATGCGCATAAACCATGCAACCTTATGTAAACCCATAAACTCATGAACCCATACACCCCAAAACCTCTGACTCAGGGTGTGAAAATATTCAGGTCTTCGGGTGTGGCAGTGCGGATTTAGGGTTACGGCTTCCGGACATATACCTCTGGGTACGGATGTTGCTGTAAAGCTTAGGGTCCAGGGTATAGGTTCCGGTGTTCTGGTTTTGTCCTGGCTCTTGCGCAGAAGTCGTCCTGATGGGTTTAGGGTTTGGTGTTTTGTGGAGGTCTGTAGGGAATGAGGCTGCATGTGCCAAAGCAACCCAAAACGCTGAACCCGCTTAATCCCTCAGCCCTAAACACAAGGCCAAGAGGGAACCACAATTTCGAAGGGGGGGCGGCCCGCATGTTCTTCTGTCCTTTCGCAGATTAAGTTTTGGGGGCTGACAGTTCAGTTCAGCGATGTCTCTGAAGGTAGCAACTCCCAAACCCGAAGCCCTAAAACCCCAACCTTCGAAAACCACCAAGCCTAAAACCTCCCCAAATCTCCGGCACGTTATTCTACCGTAGTAAGTGAGTTCGGGGCTGTTTAGGGGGCGTATCAACCTCATGAGGCCTCAAGCCCTTAACCCTTGTAGGGCCCCTCTTCGGAGTATGTGCGGCTGATTCTGCTCGGAGCCTCCATGCTGTGGGGCTGGCATGGGTTTAGGGTTTAGGGTTTAGGGTTTAGGGTTTAGGGTTTAGGGTTTAGGGTTTAGGGTTTAGGGTTTAGGGTTTAGGGTTTAGGGTTTAGGGTTTAGGGTTTAGGGTTTAGGGTTTAGGGTTTAGGGTTTAGGTTTAGGGTTTAGGGTTTAGGGTTTAGGGTTTAGGGTTTAGGGTTTAGGGTTTAGGGTTTAGGGTTTAGGGTTTAGGGTTTAGGGTTTAGGGTTTAGGGTTTAGGGTTTAGGGTTTAGGGTGAAGGTGAGCACATGTTCAGGCACTGACATTGATGATCCGACCTCGATGTTGCCTCGCGATCACAACGACAAGCTTCCCAGACGTCAGGGACACGATGGGCTCTTTCAGTCCTCATCAAGCTCGCCTAAACCCTAAACCCTAAACCCTAAACCCTAAACCCTAAACCCTAAAGCTTAAACCCTAAACCCTAAACCCTAAACCCTAAACCCTAAACCCTAAACCCTAAACCCGCTTAGGCTGCCCGATGCCCCAACAAGCCTTAACACCCCCATGAGGCTCTCCTCGGTGGTCTTCGGTGCCAGTGTCGGCTACGCCGCTGCGGCCGTCGGAGCAGCAGCACGCCAGGTCCAGCTCAATTCTAGGGCTTAGGCTTTGTCAGGGTTTAGGGATTCACAAAGTTTCATGATGTAGATCTGTCGCAAGGTTTTGGCTTTGGGCCTGGGTCGAGGCTTTTCTAGAGTCCATGGGTGTTGTTGTGAAGCATAGAATTGTAGAGTGCAAAGGCGCAGGGATCGGCGGCCTGAAGGTTGGGTTTTGGCGATCCAGAAGCGTGGAACAGAGTGCAGAGAGCCGCAACTTGGGGGGGTTCGAGGCCTTTCGAACCCCTAAACCCTAAACCCGAAACTCGTGGGCTTGGGAGGCTTCTGGCCCTTGCTAGAATCCTCACTCCGGAATCCCTACGCCCCTAAGCTTCTAAACTTCTAAACACCAGAGTCCTGTCCCCCTGAGCCTTCAGCCCTGACCCCTTGTGGTCTCGGGTGTAGGGTTTAGGGTTTAGGCTTAGGGTTTCGGGTTTAGCGTCTGAGGTCTAGTGTTTGGGATGCAGCGCTTCTTCCCAGGGCCGCGTGACGCGCTTTGCTGAAGATGCGCCTGCTGTGGCCAGGCGAAGCTTTGTTTGCTTTCTCGGGTTGCAAGGCATGTACGGATAATAAAGGGTAGGGTTTGGTTGTAGCCCGATACTCAAAAGCCCGATACTCAAAAGGAACTAGACAGTGCGAACTGAACTCCGGCAAGCATGCCATTGAAGTGCAGATGTAGCCATTACAGAATCCCCTGGTGGGGCTTCCCACTAAATATGAAGGTCTTTCTGTTTTTGTTGTCCTTGAAGGTCTTTGTTTTTGTGTCAGCGTTTCGGGCTGAAGGGGTCCAGCTGTAGGTTCAAACCCTAAACCCTAAACGCCTGGCTTGCCAGAGTTGGTGTTCTTTGGTTCGGTGCCAGCGGGCTTTGTGCCAAGGCTTGTGCCTTTGCCTGAACCATGAACTTCTAAACCTGAAAGGGAGTGGGGGGAAGGGGGAGGGAGAGTTGAGTTTGCCGCCAGGACTCCGGTCGCCTACCCGATCTTTACTTTCCGCTGGCTTGCCATCCACGCCTTGGTGGTGACCTGGCCCCAAACCCCGAAACCAACCTCAAAACCACTGAAGAACATCTGCCCCAAAACCCAAAATCCAGAGTAGGATGGACACCTGTGTTTCCTGTTGCACTTAAGATATATGTAGTTCAGGGCTGAGGTTTGTTTGGATGTTGGCCTGCAAAGCCCCTCAAGACCCGGAAGGCCCCTCAACACCCGGCAAGCACGAACCCAAAACCCCCAAAGCATCTTCAAGGCCCCTAAGCCCCTTGAATCATAATGTCTAGGCATATATTCATGGAATTTTATGTCACTATGTGGAAATATCTATTTTGCAAATTCGCAGCACACAAACAGCAAGGGACTTCGAAGCCTCCAAAGTTGCTAAGGCCGTTTTCCACCCTACCTGAACACCCTGTACATCAGAAACCCGTAAGAACGCCATAAACTCAAAAGCCTTTCAATCCCAAGCAAGCCCCGCCTTGACATCCGAAACCCAAAAGCGCTAAATCCCTATCAGTTCCCCGCGAAAGACCCTGAGCCCTCCAAGCCCGGCGAAGCATTCGTTGAAGCGATCTGCTTTACCTTGCTGAAGTCTTTCTGGTACATCCTCCAAAGCCCTTGACGCTCTTACACCCTGAAGCCCCCACAGACCCTACAGACCAAAAAGCTCCAAACAAACCCCAAGCAACCTCCAGACTGAAACCCCCAAACCCCTAAAGACCCTAAACCCTAAGCCCTAAACCCCTGAAGACCCTGGACCCTAAACCCCTGGAGCTTTTTTGAGCCCTAAACCTGGCTGGTTCATAGTAGGGAATGAGGGAATGAGTACCCTACACAATCCCTTAGAGGGTATATATAAACCTTAAACCCTAAACCCTAAACCCTAAACCCTACACCCTAAACCCTAAACCCTAAACCCGAAACCCTAAACCCTAAACCCTAAACCCTAAACCCTAAACATGCCGTTTTCAGATTCCCACCGTCTTCTTCCTCGGCGCGATCAGCTCCATGCAGCACCGGGGCCGGCAAGTGGGACAAGAAAACTTACCCCAAACCCTGAACCCTAAACCCTGAACCCTAAACCCTAAACCCCGAACCAAAAATCTGAGGTTCATCCAGCGCTGAGTGAAGGAGCGGCAGCTTGTGCGGGTGGCAGCGTAAGACACGACCATGCCCTCACACCATGCGCTCGCAACCCTGCCCAAGAGGAAGCACCCTAGTTCCCTAAACCCTAAACCCTAAACCCTAAACCCTAAACCCTAAACCCTAAACCCTAAACCCTAGTTACCCCAAACCCTAGTTACCCCAAACCCGAATTCTTCAGCCTTCAGAGAAGCAAAGCACCCTGGAGCAACCCGAAACCTTGAAAACCGTAGGCCCTAAAGATTTCCTCGCTTCATATTATTTGTCATGTCTTGAAATACATGTTCCATTGATGTCTCTGGCGTTCTTAGATGTGCAGTTCGCCTTTTGACCTGGTCATTTCAATGACATAGTTTGCTTTCATTTGACTTCAACACTCGTCGTTTCATTGCCAGAATCACGACACTTGCTTCTCGTGCTTCAAGTTTCCTTTTTCTTTTCTAGATCGGCTAAATTCATAGCCAATGTTAGTTTTAAGGTATTTTGTGCTCTTTCGCCGCATGGAGCCTGTAGGCTTCTAAGGTTTAGAGGAATCAGGGTTTCGGGATTAGAACTATAGGGTTATGGCCCGTGTTCAGTCAAGAAAGCTGCCTGGCCCAAAGCCGCCGAACGGACTTGGGCGTGGAATTCTTGGTCGTTAGAGATCAAAGGAAGCCTTCTGCTTCGCGTGAAGCAGGTCAAGAAGGCTCCTGTCGTGCAGACGACGGCTTTTTGAAAACAGAAAAGAAGAGTTCGGGGCTTCGGTTGTAGATGTAGCCCGTACCAAGCCCAGTTTTTGACCCTAAGCTTTTAAACTCTGAATCCTGAATCCTGAACCCCACACCCCCTAGCCCGCAACCCTGTTGGGTAGGCTTTGGGTTCGGGTAAGGCCTTACAGCGCAAGGTAGAAAAGAGCCAACTCGTAGCGCTGAGGGTGTGAAAGTAGTACACAGACCTGCGCGTGCGTTTTGCAGGGGATTGGGTTCCTTTTTCATCTCCATAAGAGCGTTTGAAGGGCACCCTGTCTCTTCTTAGGTTCTTAAGGATTGTCAAACCGTAAACCCTAAACCCTAAACCCTAAACCCTTTAGTATGGGGGAACATCCCAACGTGCGCCCATCTGCAGCGTTTTTGGAAGCTCGAGATCGCCAAAGAAGCCCATCGCACCTCTCATCTTCGACAATGGCCATGCGCGTGCTTCCGGCTGAATAGAATGCCTAGGTAGGCCCCTAAACCCTAAACCCTAAACCCTAAACCACTATGGACCCTGTGGCTATGCTACGAATCGTGTGGGGGTCCTTGTTCAAGCTGGTTGGGTACAAGTGCTAAACCCTTCAGCCCTAAGTCCTAGAGCCTTTCAGATCCTAAGCCCTTGAGGTTTAGGGTTTAGGGTTTAGGGTTTAGGGTAGATCCTAAGCCCTACCCCAAGTTCTCAAAACCTAAACCATTCGAACCCTGAGCGCAATGCCCAATGCCCACAGTCCGAAGGCCTCCGACCTCAGACATGGAGTTTCGGGTTTAGAGTTTCGGCCTGAGGCTTTAGGGTACCGGGAGCCTTACGTCCTTAGAACTCCCACGAAAGGGACCAGAAGGGCAGAGCCGGAAGTTCGAACGCCATACATCATTCAACCTCTCCTTCGGGTTTGGGGTGCTTCGAGTTGTCTAACAGCCAAAGTTTCAACCGACTGCGAAAATTGGGATGTTCCCCCTGATACTAACAGCTCCTCAATAGTGGATTTAGTCCCCCCACCCCCCCCCCCCCCCCCCCCCCCCCAAAAAAAAAAAAAAAAAAAAAAAGCCCTATTCTGAACTGTTCGTAGGGGGGAACCCCTAAACCCTAAACCCTAACCCTAAACCCTAAACCCTAAACCCTAAACCCTAAACCCTAAACCCTAAACCCTAAACCCTAAACCCTAAACCCTAAACCCTAAACCCTAAACCCTAAACCCTAAACCCTAAACCCTAAACCCTAAACCTAAACCTCTCCCCAATTTGCCTGAAAAGGTGCTGTCCTTCCTTGCCACTCTGGGTGCCGCACCGGGCCTCAGAGGGGATTCAGGGCCTAGGAAAAGACACCTTTAAGGGTTTAGGGTTTAGGGTTTAGGGTTTAGGGTTTAGGGCTACGAAACCCTAAACCCTGATTCGCCCTAAAGTTCCTTCCCTGTACGCCCTCTGAACGGAGCAGCCTGCTGTTGATTTTGAGCTGAGAACCTAGGGTTTCTTGTATCATAACCCTTAAACATGATAGACCCCCCCCCCTACCGTTCTAATAAAAAGAAGTGCACCCCAAAACACTCGACCCTAAACCCCAAACCCTGCTGAACCTAAAGCCCCGACCCCAAACCCTAAACCCTAAACCCTAAACCCTAAACCCTAAACCCTAAACCCTAAACCCTAAACCCTAAACCCTAAACCCTAAACCCTAAACCCTAAACCCTAAACCCTAAACCCTAAACCCTAAACCCGCCCTAAACCTTAAACCCTCTGAAAGGACCCCTCCTGCCCCCCCCCCCCAAGTATCATCCCAGGTGTCGGCCTTCGTGCCCCCTGCGCAGAGCAACGCCCGAGTGCAGGCAGCTGCTTGAGGGCGTCAGGGGTGGGGGTGGAGGATGTTTTAGGTTTAGGGCTTAGGGGTAAGGGATGTTTTAGGGTTAAGGGGTTGAGGATGTTTTTAGGTTTAGGGCTTTAGGGGTAAGGGATGTTGAGGGGTTGCGCTAGGGGTTGAGGGATTGTGAAGGTCCTAAAAGTGTAGGGTTTTAGGGCTTCTGAGGTCCTTAACTCTTCGGGTGACGGCAAAAGTAACGAGACTCAGGATGCCCTGAACTCAGAAACCAATTTCCCACCGTTCAACTCCTGCCCTAAACCTAAAGCTTGCAAGCTCGCTGCCCTGCTTACATCCCCCCAGCCCAAGACAGGCTCTGAGTCCCACTTATTGGGCCAAGGGACCACGACGACCATTGCAACCCCCAAGAGGACCAACCCTAAACCCTGCCTTACCCCAAACCCCAAACCCCCAAACCCCCAAACCCCCAAACCCCCAAACCCCCAAACCCCCAAACCCCCAAACCCCCAAACCCCCAAACCCCCAAACCCCCAAACCCCAAACCCCAAACTCTAAACCCCAAACCCCAAACCCTAAACCCTAAACCCTAAACCCTACCCATCTGCCCCGAAACCCGCAAGCCTCTTACCTGGCAAGGCTCCTCACTCCGTGGCAGCGCAGGCTCCGGAGGCCACAACGGAGGCCGCCTTTTGGGTTGAGGGTTCGCGGGTTATCGGTTTTGGGCCTGTGGGAGATGTGATATATATATATATATATATATACATATATGTGTATAATCTGTATGATCAGGTGGGGCTGCCGGTAGCGCTCTGGCATTTTAGGGCTTTTCGAGGTTTAGGGTTTGGCGCGCCAGATGCATGACCATATACACAGTTCGGCTTGGGGTTTGAGGGTGTTGTGGTTTAAGGTTTGCTAGCTTCGGGGTTTGGTGTTTGGAGTGTCTGGTTTGAGTGCTAAAAGGTTTCTGGGTTTGAGGCTGGAAGGCTTTAGACCCCCTTGCAGAAGTACCCGAAGGGTTGTGGGCACGGCAGAGGGGGGGGGTAGACAAGGCTTAGAAGCTTCAGACCCTAAAAGCCTAAAAACCTCAAGTTTAGGCTTCAGTGTTTAGGGAGGCCCGAAGGCCCCACAACCTCCCAACACCGAAACCAGGGCTCAGCAGGTCAATGCTTTCGGTATCCAGGGGTGTGTCTAAAGCCTCGCGACAACAACCTGAAGCCGACACCTTTGTGGCCCCAAACCTTAAATTCTTCTAACTTTTGCGTGCCCTGAACACCCTCAGTACCCCCCCCCCCCCCCCCACACACAAGATTTACCAAAAGCCCCAATCTGAGTTTTGGTAGTTTTTGTGCACCGTGCGCCATGCTGTCAACGCAGGCGACACCGCCGGGGGCCCGTGGTCAGATTGGGGGGCTGGGTGGGGAGAGGCCAACCTGGAACCGCATGATAACGTGTAGAATATTACTGTGTCTGAATCCTGGGATGTTCCCCCTGATGCCAACACCTCCTTAAATGGGCAGTTTCATAGGGGGTACAATCATCCCGATGAAGGAGCTGTGAGTAGAGGGGGGAACATCCCAATCTGAACCCCAGCATCCCCGAAATCCAGCAAGCTGTCGGCTTTGTGTCCGGTTCAACAGTCAGGGCCTGGAAGCTTAGACTTGGGAGCCCTTGCTTGCTTTCGGTCTTCAGGAATGTTGAGGTTTAGGGTTTAGGATTTAGGGTTTCGGGGTTAGAGTTGAGGGTTTAGGATCTCAGGGTCTCAAGCTCCCCAAGCCCTCGCATTCCGAGATTCTGCTCAAGGCCCTCTAAGCCGTATAGGCAGCCCTACATCATGAACCCTAAGCCCTAAACTACTCGCACAATCCCCAGGTTCGCATCTCTTCTGGCCGGTGTCGGGGTCGGCTACGCAGCGGCCGCGGTGGGTGTTGTAGGGCGCAAGGCGGCCTCTCCTCCGTCTCTGTTTTTTGGGGCGGTTTAGGGTGCAGGGTTCAGTGCTTAAGTGTGTTCTTGTTGTTGTGGCGGGGTTTAGGGTTGAGTTCCTTGCGGTTTAGAGTTCCAGGACTTGGTGGTTGCCTCAACCGCAAGAGACCAAAATCCGACCTTGCTGGGGCTTCTCTACGTGTCGTGAAAGGAGTCTCAAAACCGAACCAAAGCCTGTAACCCTGAACCCCCTAGGACCCAGGGCAAGTTTTTGCGGGTTCTTGAGGTAGTTCCGAAGCCCGACAGACTATGCAACTCGAGCTAGGGGGCAAGGTGTATTGAAACCTTGAGCCTGAAACCCTACACCCTGACTGAACCCTGACTTTTAGAATAAGGGCTCAAGGGCGAAAACCAACAGAATTTCGTGGGCCATCAGATGCCTTATGTTTACAAGGGCCCATTTTCTTCTTTCAAGACAGGCAAATCGCCCTCGTACTAACTGCCCCCCCAATTCTCTGATT